CGCGACACAGCTCGTGTCGATTATACATGTATGATATATACTACACACAGACACACACACACACACATACAAATGTATACTTACGGTGAAGAATCGCCCATCGCGGTGAGCCGCCGCGATTTTCAGCGATGCCTTCGCACATCCATCGACCCGGTTCGCGACTGCAAGAGCGACAGGAGTATTGAACCCTGACGGTAACACCAGGCGCCTCCCGGATGTCCCGTTGTGGTTACTCGAAATGATGCACGAGAAGCGCGTTGCGAGAGTGAAAGAGAGAAGAGAGAACGACGATCACGACTGATGATAAGCGATTGAACTTGAAGTGAATGAATTTAAAATCCAGCTTTCGGCACGTACGCGCTCGAAAAACGTACGTGTGTTACCGTCAGGGTTGGTGTGAGTCGACGCGTCTTGGAAGTGCGATCCGCGTGAATCCCCGTCGCATCGCGGATGTGATTTCGATGTATTCCACGAAGGAGAGAGCCTTCGAGAGCAGGTCGTGTCCGGCTTCCCTTCAGCGACGATTCGAGAGGAGAATCGCCTCGAGTCGAATCATTTCGCGCGACTGTACCTAACGAAGGATCTTCTTTTCTCCCTGTTTCGTCCTGACGTGTCGGAAATCAATGGAGTCGGGAGCGAAGTCCGAAGTATTAGCGCACATTGCTTGAGGAAAGAACGTTCCTGAGTAAAAATCCGAAGAATCGAAGAAAGGGAATGAGATCGTCTCACCGCAGCGCGTGAGCGACGCGCTCTTTCCTCGCGAACAGCTTTTGTCCTGGCGAGTCCTGGCGCTCGATCATCCCCACGCATACACTCGCGGACGATTCTCTCGTTCTGTAGTTCCGCTGTGTGTATATATGACTACGAAGACGGGACAAGCGTGGTCGCGCTAAGGGCGCACATGTAAATTCGTGCGTTAGCGAGCGCGCAGCAGGATTTCACACGCCAGAGTTCCCCATTTTCCGACCGGGGTTGCCCGGTCATCGCGCGATCGGCGATGTGATCGGCGAACGCGAGACATGTCGCGTCTCGTGTGTGTCATCAACAATCGCTTGTGTGTGTGTGTGGGTGTGTGTGTGTGTGTGTGTGTGCGCGCGCGAACGCGACGTTGGACCATCATCCGGATCATGAAAACTGTCAGATCGACCGCTGTCATTTTTCTCCTGCCGTTGCTGCGACGCCGGTCGCGTCGCACTCCGTCGGATAATAGTCTTTTACTCCTAGCGATGTCGAAGATTAACGAATCGTAATCGAAATGTATATGTGTGTACGTTACGTGTTGTTACGTCTATGCGTATTATTATTACGTGTACATGTGTGAGAGAGAGAGAGAGAGAGAGAGTGTATTGAGGAAGAAAGAAAAAGAAAAAGAGGCTCTTTGCGAGCGTGCGTCGTAGAAATTAATTAGCGTGCGTAAGATCCGATCGTCGATGACGCTCGCGAACCGTGAATATTCGTCGGCGAGCCTTTCGCTTCCTTCGCTGATTGTTGCGTGGCGGTGTCGCTCTGGGCCAGCTTCCGATACGAGGCTCCTCGTTCCCGAGGACAGGAGCCGCGCTACCACTCTCTTCGACGCATCCCCGAGTGCGTAGAGCAACCGTGCAATCGCAGCTGAATGTGTGCGTGCGTGCGCTGAGTGCGGGTGTACTGCTCGAAAGTGCGCGATCGGAGGAATCGCTGAAGCATCTGAAAAATTCTGACCTTCCGGACACACTTCCCTCCGTTCATCTCTGTCTCGTTTCCTTCTTCGCCTCTTCGCCTTCTCGACGACGAGGTAGACAAGCAAGCTATCGAAACGGAGGAATCGACTCACTCGATCGAGCGGAGTGTGTCCGGTGTTCTTTTACGTAGACGTGACGATTCAGCTCTTCCATTCCGTCGGCATCTCGTCGGAACGACGTTCTTGATCGTTTCTCGAGCAGTACGCGCGCTACATCGGGTGTAATATATGCCTTGACACTTATTTTACTCCGGGGTTTCTCCTGCAGTCTCTCTTCAATTTTTACGTATACGTGTGTAAGATGTAAGGAATCTTACGAGTAACTACTGTAATTGCAACGTGAAGAGGCATACGTGACACGTCCGGTGTAATATCCTTATGATCGTCAATTTAACGTTCATCGAGATGGTCTCGTCACGGATGCGCGCGTTTTAATTTTCTATATGTCGTTACGAAGTTAATTAACAATAGGGAAAGTACTCTTATACGTCTTTTCCTCCGAACGGGATTCGACGCTTGACACTTTGACGACAGGTATGAAATCCGCACGAAATTCTTACTTAAACATGCGTCTCGCCCGTTTAAGTACCCACCAATTGCCTGTAATAATAATAATAATTATAATATAATAATAATGATATAATAATGATGATATAATAGTAATATTATCACTAAACAAGTCCGCAGGTTCGCAAACAAGTCTTTCCGTTGCCGATTTTCTACCAATTCTTCGTTTTTCTCACCCCTATTTATTTATTTACCAAATTTTTTTTTTTTTTGTAGAATGTATTTAAAGCGTCGAACGCGCGAACAAAGGAATATCAGGTTGGTCGAAAAATTCGTTCCTTCTCTTCTTCTTGCATGTCTCTCGTAGTGAGAGGGAAAAGAAAAAATCAAGAGAGAGAGAGAGAGAGAGAGAGAGAAATGAAACGACTTTTTCGATGAATCTAATATTTTTTAGACGAATTGTATCTCGTCGTCATTGCTCTAAGTCATCCGTATGTGTGAGAGTGAACGAGTAAAACGTAATTACGTGAGAGAAAGAGAAGAGAGAAAGCGAGAGAGAGCGGGTATCGACTTCCGTTCGACTCGGGCACTTTTGCGTGTTCGTTCCTAGACCACGAGGAACAGAAGATCGAGATATCCGAGCGACGCGATATGATAGACCATACAGGACGTCGTCGTGGTGATCCGCTCCGATCCTCGAGATTGCGATAATACAAAAGAATTCCGAAGAAGGAAACATTTTTCTTGCGTTTTTCCGCGAGCGTCTCGAGAATCAATCGTGCGGCTCGCCACGACGGACGTTCCTCTGCGTGGTGTGTGTGTGTGTATGTATATATTTCTTTTCGAAAGTATTTCTCTCCGAAATTGTTTGCGAACGTGTCTTTCTTGCGGCTTCGTGTATTTATTACAAATTTCTCGTGTTCCATTCTCCGTGCGATAATTTTTTCGGCATGCTATTTTGATCCGCGACACAAATTTTATGTGCCGCACCGATCGCTTCTCGGCTGAGAAGACGCGACGAGTTGCATAAAGCGTAAAGTAATTATGAAATAATTAATTAATCCAGAAGCGGCACGAGAGAAAGAAATAGAAAGAGAGAAAGAGGATCATTTAATTTGTGTATATGTATATATATGAATTTTTTTTTTTTTTTTTTTTTCTACGAAACGCAGTACCCTCGTATGAAGTTGCGGCGCGTAAAGTCCCTCCCCTCCCCTGCCCTCCCCCCCCATTACGAAAACCCGCGGAACTTGTGTTGTGCATCGTACAAGTCTTGTTATTGTAATAATAACTCTGATGTTACAATTATGCTTACCGTTTTACCGTGGATATGTGTAGTCCCAGGGCGAGGCATTTTTCACTCGCCCGGAACCGTTGAAGTGTCACATTGTAAAACAGTATTCTTTCGATTTTCAAGGCTCTCCATAGAATTGTATACCGAGCTGTCATTATTTTTATGTCAATCTCCTGTGTAATAATAGAAGACAGATATTTTTTGGAACTGTAAATCAATTCTCTTGAAAGATGTATGAGTCGATTAATAAATAATGCATGGCATAAAGTAACCAGTTCACATCCCGTGTGGTAAATTATTTCATGTATACCCTGTGTCAAGCCTGTGAAACATATCGCTCGTTTCTCTCTCGCGAGATTTTGCCATTCCGAGGCCATCGGTCGATTCTGCAGCATAGATTACTCTGTACGTTATTTTTCACCTGAAATGTATCGTCAATTTTTTCTCCTCGCCAATTGGCGTTTCGGGCTTTGCACGACGAGGTTACCTCGATACTTTCACACGCCGGACGTTAACGTCGACCGACAATATATTGATATCTTTGCACTCGCGGGTCTGTAAAGAGCGCGGTGAAATCTGCCCCGCTGTTTTCTCCGTGTCGGACCGGCTCACGTTTTGAATTTTGCTGAAATGATTGTGGCGCGTCTGCCGGGAAAGAATGGCGGCGAGACACGGGCGCCGCCTGGAACGGGATTCGTCAACTTCCTCGAACCGCTGTTTTACCTCGCTCAGCTCGACCAGGGTCGGTAAACTCTTCGACTGCGGACATTCCTTGCAAGATAGTTTACGCGTCCACATGCAGCGCTGATTACCGTCATTTACGCGCGAATGTCCATAATACCATTATCAATGTCCCCTTTGACACGCGTACCGCATCTACAATGTCGTCGAGTCTTCCGACGAAGCCTCGCAGCCAGAGTCGCTTTTCCGGAATCGCGCATCTTCTACTCCTCGAAACTGCACTTTTCGCACTCCTCGCAATTTTTCTCTTCTCATCACCTCTCTCTCTCTCTCTCTCTCTCTTTCTCGGTTCCTTCGGATCTCAATATTTGTTTTATACCGAGTACGTGACATAGCTACCATTTGTTCCTCCCTCTCTTTCTCTATTTCCGTTTCTCTCATTCTCACCCCTTTCCCTCCCCTCGTATCAGCTTAGATGCTGAAGATCGAGGATCGCCGGCTGAAGACCGGGACTCGACCAATGAGAGAGCCGAGTTCAGCGAGATGATCGAGATCAATAGACCCGCTCAATTTCCAGTTTTCAAATCGCGAGCCTCGATCTCCGAATCGTCGTGTCTGACACGGGCTTAACCACACGTCGGTGCGCGCGGAGGCGATGATACACCCGGCGGAATCGAGTCGCTCGAGTGGCAAAGGTGGTGGTGGTGATGGTGGCGGCGGCGGCGGCGACGGTTGCTGGAGGGGTAGGAGGACGACGACGAGCAATGTACACGGGGCAAAGGGGGAAGGGGCGACGTTAACGGCGGGCAAGGCCGCCATGTTGAATCGGTCTCGTTAATTTTTGCGAGGAGCCGTCGCGAACTTTTCCTCCGCGGTCGCGCGCGCGCGCGCGCGCTCTTTCTCTCTCTCTCTCTCTCTCTCTCGGGGAAGGTAGTGGCATAGCTGCGCTCAAGGTTGCGCGTCGTCGCCCGGGCATCGCGCGAATCGTTCGGCCGACAGGTCGCAGGCAGGCGGCCAGGAGGGCGCCCCCGTCTTTCCCCTGTTGCCACAACTCCGCCGGTATACGATTGGTGGTCCGAGTAAGCGTCCGACTCTCGGCTCTTTCTCTCCGCGGCTCTTCCTTCTCTGTATGCCTCGTCTACCGTGTCACGTCGGCCATGCACGCTCGGTGCCCGTCTACGTTGCCGTTGCCGTCGTCGTGTCTTCGTTACTCGCGATCCCGCACCAGAGAGAGAGAGCCCCGCAGACGCACGCCCGTCTCTGGTGATACGCGACGAGCGGCACGCGTGTGAGAGAGTTCTTATTAGTCGCGGAAACGTCGGCGATTGCCAGTCAGTGAAGTGCGCCTGAAAGAATAGACGAGGACGAGAGGTGAGAGAGAGAGAGAGAGAGAGAAAGAGAGAGATATCGAGCGAGAGAAAGAGAGGGTGAGCGAGAGACAGAGAGAGGAGTGTTCACGACGACACGGCGATGATGGTGATGATAACATTTGATAAGTGAACGAATCCGGACAGACGCGGATAAATAGACGGACGAAGGACGACGCAGAGAAAAGAGAGAGAGAGAAAGAGAGAGAGAGGGACGGACGGACGGACCGGCCGGTCGGCCGACCACACACGTGTGTACTGACCACAGATATGCGAGGCGTGCACGCCATGTCGAGTGAGTGAGTGACGGCGGTGAGTGCAGTGAGTAATACATTGTAGCGTGGCGTGCGTCCCGCGATACATAGGTAGAGCGCGCGCCGCGAAGAGTGACGGAGTGAACGCAGTGTGAAGTGAGCCGAGAGAGAGAGAGAGAGAAAGAAAGAAAGAAAGAAAGAAAGAAAGAGACACATACATACACAGAGTCAGAGAGAGAAAGAAAGAGAGAGAGAGAGAGGAAGAAACGACCGGCTGTAGAAGGAAGGAAGGGTAACACCGTCGAAGCGGCCGCCGTGACCAGAGAGCGCGGCTCTACGTTCTACTTCGCCGTGTGTGTACATCAAATCAGCCCAGCTCGCGTATGTCAACCGATCCACGCCGTCAATTCCCCGGATCGTCCTCCATCGACCTCCGAGGTACGTGTTTTCGCGAACATGTCGCGCTGATGCATTGATAGGCGGCTGAAGGGGGGTGCAAGGGTAGCGGGGCCGGGGAGAGAGGGAGAGCGGGAGAGAGCACAGAGAGGACCCGTGACGAGATTCGACACACACATCATACACACACACACACACACACACACACACACACACACACACACACACACACACACACACACACACATATATATATATATTAGGTATGTTCTTTCTAGCCAAACTGGATTGTGCACTTCTCGTCTTTGGAGTGAAATAAGCATATAACCTATAAGTTGAGAAGTGTGTAAGTGGCTATCAGATGCCCGAACTTTTTTCCAGACGTCAGGAGTAGAGGGAGGGGGAGAGGGGACAAGTTGCCCAGTGCCACACCGGTTCGGTTGAAAAGAGCGTACCTTTTGTCGCTAAAAACAAAAGAATATTGTGAAAGGCCGGAGCCGTTCTCCGCAGCGCGATAAGTTAATTTGTTGCAATTCATTTGCGCAGTAGTTGGCATTTAACGCGTTCTCGGCCCTCATTTCGCCCTCAATTTTCATCTCTCGAGTCTATGGAGCCTATTCTTGCCAGCTCAACTAGCGCTGCTAAACGAGAACTTTCTGCTACTTTTCCCTTCAGGGAAAAACCGAGTTACACGTCTCTACTTGTCTCCTCACCTTAGAGACAAAAGGTGCAAGCCTTAGGGCCGTCTGAAAAAAAGAGCAAACCTTAAGAAAATCTTCGGTTCTGTTTAATTGAAAAAAATAAAGGGGGGAGAGCTACGAGAGCTATCCACAGCTTTCACGATCTTCGGGGATAATCGTGGTGGAGGATTCCAGCCGCTTTCCGACGAGCTGTTGACGGATTTGTGGACCGAATGCTTCTCCCCTCTGTTGTTCTTTTCACGGTATTAATATATCGATCCGTCAAAGCTACACGGCGCAACACCGTATCTCCAGTTTTTCGCGTCCGCGAACGGGGACACTGACTTGGACTTTTCGCACGCGCATCGCTCATTTAGCGCGCGAGCGAACGGCTGATAGGAAAATACATAATCATTTTCCGACTTGACGATAAGCCACGTGTAATTTGCTCGCCGATAAGATCGCGCGCAAGGTGGTGGTACTCGAGACGAGCCCGCGCGTTACGGATCTCCAATTTTCAACGATGTCGCGTAGAAAACCCGACACGGCGCCATACACAACACACACGCAGCACACACACACACACGCAGCACACACACACACACACGCAGCACACACACACACACGCACGTGCTGTTGCGTGGCGAAGAAGCCACGCGGCGGCAACGGCTGCGGACGGCGGCAACCGTTGCTTTTCAGCAAGATCCTGTGTATTCGAGCATCGTTTACAGCGAATCAGCAGGATAACGCCTCTTCCATAGGCCATTCCCCTCGCATAGGCAGTTTTCCTTCTCTCGAGCACGCTGCTCCTTGGTCCTTCTGAAAAACACACACCAGTGGCGACGAGCCAAAATTGCCTTTTTCATCGATCCGTACGACATCTTGTAATTTTATCTCATTGGTCCCTCCAGAAGATACAGGTCTTCCTCTCTGGCCGAACTGGGTTGCGCTTTTTGCTCTTTCAAAATGAAACGACTGTACAACCTAGGAAGCTAGAAATCGTTTATCTCATCGAAGAACTTTTGAACTGGTGCACACTAGCGCGCAATGAGTTAGAACGAGAACAAATATATTTGTCCCATTCCAACTTCTTTTTGCATCTCGCACCAGTTCACAAATCCTTCGGAAAAGAACGGAACTTGTAGCGTTGAAGGTTTCGTGTACGTCAGTTTGTGCCTGATTTTTCACGCACACTTTCAAACGCTTACCGTTATCATTAATAGCGCCATCGATTGGTCGATCGACCGACCGATCGACCGGTCAATCAACGACGTATTTCGGAACGGTATTCGGCTGTCCAATAGGAACGTTTATCTCCCACTGAATTACTAGAAATAGTTACTGAGAAAAAATTCTAGTTTACGCGAATACGTGCGGATGTGTTATTAGGAAGTTTTTCCAATATCGTCTCTCAGATATGGTAAATGTGTGAATGCTATTGGTCGCGTACATAGCGACGTTATTTCTGAGCGAATAACGTTCACGATCAATGTTTACCGTATCTGAAAAGACGGTATTGCAAAAATTCCCTATTGAAGAAAAAGAGAGAGAGAGAGAGAGAGAGAGAGAGAGAGGAGAGAAGTGCCGCAGTCTCTCTCTCTTTCTCTCTCTCTCTCTCTCTCTCTCGTCGTGGAGACGCTGTGACTCCACGAGAGAATCTCCCGACGAGAATTCGTTCGCGCGCGCTCGAGACGTGACATAACTCGACGTACCGCCGACGGAGTCATGCACGCGTCTTTATATCGCGCGCACCGCGAGTTTAGAGACCTCTGAGAACACATGACGTCACGTATAACGCCGACACGCGGCGGCGACGGCAGCTAAGCGGGAGAAGCAAGAAAGAGAAGTTGCCATAAGCATAGGATGGTGTATGTTTAATTGGTTTATGTAAGAATCTCCGCCACGTGCGGGTTCTCTCTCTCTCTCTCTCTCTCTCTCTCTCTCTCTCTCTCTTTCGCGTACGCTCTCTTGCTCTCGCTCGCTCGTTCGCGAGCGCGCGGGCGAAAATGGCAGTTTCTTTCACCCAGAGCACTTCAATATTTCCACCTAATTACGCATCTGACGGCGTCTCGTCTCTCAGATGCACAAAATGAAAGAGAGAGAGAGGGGGGGCGCATCACGACAATACCTCTCGTCCGGTGCGACGATCATTCTCGCTCGAGATGCGTACGCGAAACCGCCACCGAATCGCCTTGCGAAAACATCGTCGCGGCTCTCCGTGCCGCCGTCGCCGCTGATGCCGGCGGCGGCGGCCGCGGCCGGCAGTGGGGACCGACCCTGCCGTCGAAAAATCGATTTCCCGTAGGGCATAAGGGCGAGCGAGCAACTGGGAGGAGGGCGGCCGCGGGAGAGGGAACACCGCCGTGCGGAGAGACGAAATTCGGGAAAATCCGCGAGAGACGCGAGAGGGAGAGAAAACAAGAGCAATAGACCAGCGCGTAAAAACCGAGCTCTCTTCCCTCCTCGCTTCTCTTTCTCTCTCTCTCTCGCTCGCTCTCTTCCTCTGTTGCACACACATACGCGCGCGCGCGCGCACATTATATATATATATATAAATATAATATATATGTACATGTATGTATAATACATATACAATACATAGCGAGAAAGGGTGAGGGGAGGGGGAGAGATTCGTTTCTGGTCCGTTCCCGATGTGGCCGCGTGTGTGGGTGAACGGCTACACGGCGCGTGTATACGCTGCTGCACGGCAGCGGTGGTAGGGGTGAGAGGAGAAATAATTAATGTGCGACCCATTCCTCTCCCCGCGCGCGCGGTCGTACGCGGCGGCACCCCTTGCTCCCCCCGTAGCGGCCCTCCTCGCTCCTCCGCGCTTATCCCCCATACCCCCTCCCGAGAGAGCAGGAGTAGCTACGGGTACCCACTACGGGTCTCTCTTGTACCGCTACGCTTAGCTGCCATTGTGTCGGGACGCCACTTCCGAAGTATCAAACGTTAATTCTTTGATTGCGCGGCATCTCTCTCTCTATCTCTCTCCTTTTCTCACTCTCGGGGCTGGTGCACCTCGCCGAAAGCGAGTCGGCGGCCGCGCGTGCGAGCCGCGGGAGAGTAATATCATCGTCGTGTATCGTTCGTTTTCCTCCTCGTGGTCGACGGCAGTGAGGAGAGAGGTGGTGTTGTTTGAACACAACGTGTGTGACGACGGCGACGCGGCGACCGTCGTCGTCGTCGTCATTGTCATCGTCGTCGTCGTCGTCATCATCGTTGTCGTTGGCGCCGGCGGCGGTGGTGGTGGTGGTGGTGTGGTGTGGTGGTGATCGAGAAGACGCGCAGACGACCCTGTCCCAATTCGTCGATAGCATTCCCGGAAATCGCCGAGTCGTACGCCGTAAACCGCTGGCTGCCTGCGATTGCCTGTTGGCGAATTCGTGAAAGTTAGGTTAGGACAGTTACTTCCGCAGGTATCGGCCGATCGCTCGCTCGCTCGCTCGCTCGTCGTTCGCTGGCTCGCTCATTTGTCGCGTTCTCTCTCTTTCGCGCGCGCACTCGTCCGTCCGCTTGCCCTCTCCCCTCCGCCGCCGCCCCTCTCCCCCACGCCTTTCATTTCAGAGGCGTCTTCCGTCGAGGATACTCTTCGATTCCGCACGCGTTGCGTCGACGGACCGTTCTTTACGTGTCGCTGGAGTTCCGAGATGTCGCGTTTACGCGTCGAGTAATCCGTGACTGTAATCGCGATCCTCATTGACGATCTTCCGCGAAAAACAAAGCCGGGCGTCGTTCGCGAGTACGACGCGGTGCCGAGTGCGCGTTACACGAGGCAGGAGAAATTTGATAACCTAGTTCGTGGATATTCCTTCGACGACGACGATGACGACTCGTCGCCGCCTGCGAGTGTCGTGTCGTGCCGCACGACGAGCATTGAGCGTGTGTTGATGTGCGTAACCGTCGTAGCGACGGTTTTCTCGGCTTGGCGCGCGCGTTTGAACGCCTAGGATCTCGGTCCGCTCCCGGCGGCATGCCTGTTGATCCTGATTTGATCCTCACGCCTTGTGATTGCAGAGTGACCGTCGCCCGAAAGAATGGAGGCCATGGATCTGGACGGGGATGCGGTGGTGGATCTGAGTGTCAGGTAAAAGTGCACTTCACGCCATGTTTGAGGTTAATCGGATTTAACAGCTGCCGCTCGTGTCCGTGTGCGCGTTTCCCGACGAGTTGCACGCGAATGACTCGAGCGGGGAGTCCGCGCGCGCGCGGCCTGCGATTTCGGTTTTACACGCCACGAGGAATCCCACTGGGAACTTCGCGCATCATTCTCTTGGGACGCTTAAAGTAGAACGCCTCACAATGGTAATTAGTAATAATGCTGTCTTTTATCCGACTGGATTCTTATCGGTATCACTCGTTATCGCTCTATGATGAACGGCGAAATAGATTGTTATTACTCGACTCGGTATACTCGGTATATGAATGTTGATGCGTTGAAGATGCGATAGTGAACTCGGTGTCTCAGCATTAAGAAGACATAGCTGTCGCTGTATTGCAGTTTAAGCATATTTACGTATTATCGCAAGCCTTTTAATCGTGTGTAATTGTGTGTATTTTTAGCAGCAGTGGCAGGCGTAGTTCCCCATCTGTTTCTGTGAATTCCGGAGACGTGGCGGTGCCGTTGGACTTGGGTATCCACATCTCCACTAGCCCTAATTTAGAGAACAACATGCCGGAGGCTCGTAACATACAAAACGCGGCGCGAGGCATCCTGGCTCCCAAATCAGGGGAGGATCGCAAGACACGACGTAGTCTCAGACCTAGAATAGAGAGAAGTTATGCCGAGAGTCCTGATGAGCCCAGAATAAATGGATACCTGAATGGAAACGCATCGGACAGCGAGGAAGGTTGTTACCGTATTCTATTCGCTTCAATATGCAATTTCTCATCACTGGTGTTCGCACTAACAACAACATCAAACACAGGTGAGCTGCCTCCTCTGCTGCCTATCAAGGAACTGTCGAGCGACGAGTTAGCCGAACGCGAGAGGATGCTCAGGAAGCTGAAGGAAGAGCTCAAGTCCGAGGAGATGAAGCTGGTGCTGCTGAAGAAGCTGCGTCAGTCTCAACAGCTGAAGGAGAATATTGCGGTGCCGAAAGCCCCCAGCAAATTGCCACCGCCAGTAACTGCAGTGCAGCAGGCGCCTCACAGGTAATGATCGACAAACCACTACGCGATTAATGCAAGTAGAATAAGGAAGAGACCCTGTGACCAAAATGTTGTTCCTTCACAGTCACAGAACAGGGAAAGCACCGCCTCCGTTACTCAGGGGCCAACCAGCACCAAGCAGAAGTAGTAGTTTGCATGCTCCACCACCAGGCATGGTGTTGCCGCCAACAGCGGGCCGAAACGCAACTATCTCGAGTACAGGGATACCTCCGAATATGGTGATACCTCAGCCACCTCATTCTAGGGGCAGACCGCCCAGCACGACGCCGAATGTGTCGAGTTACCACGCGCCGGCGGACAGAACAGAAAGATCCACCAAGGATCCGACGCCAGCTCCCGCACATCAAGTAAGTAAGGTATAATAGATCACATGTTATCTTTATTTCTTTTTTATTGTTTTTCTTCACTTCTGTAAGTTTCCAGTCGTCGTGCAAATCTTACCTCGAGTCTTGTTTCGGATTGTTAACCCTTCAAGTGCCAAGTTAATTTGGAACATTCTCGACACAGAATTTCATGCACCATCGTCGGAACATTTCGCTCTATCGTCGTTGGCTGCGTTGCTGAAGAGAAACTGCATTTTGACTGCATTTCGATGTAATTTTGCCTGGTTACTGTAAAATATTACAAATTACCAAAATCACGATATGATGAGCGATATGACATCAGCTAAATTTGACATCAGAAACGAGACAATCCAATCTTGAGAGGGTTAATAAAGCCGTATTCATCATTGAGTATTCTTGATCTAAAAACTTCAAAAGAGGCACGTTATGTACACACAAACGCTTTCACCGCTAATATGCAACACTACAAGCACTGCAAGTGGCGGTGAAAGTCTCAAATAATTCTTTAATCGTAAGCAACGTATGTAACTCATTATTGTGTTTTTCTGAACACAAAGCTGCTTGTTGGATCGCAGGAAAATAAAACCACCGCATCCTTAAGCACGCCTGTGAATTCGGAACAGGTATATCAAGCACGTCGTATCAATATGCAATGTCTTTCTATCTGTGTATCTTCTTTCTCGAGGCATATTAATCAATTTCTTTCTTCTGTTGAGATCATAAAAAAATAGACAGTCGATAACAAGCATTTCAGTCTCCTGTTTAAGAGAGCTTTGTCTTCTGTCCTCGCTTTATTCTCATTTTTCACGTTATTCTGAACGAAATTCTTTCGTTTCAATCAGATATACCATAAAATGACGTGTAAAAAAATAGTCTGCTTGTTATTCTCCTTTGATGCGCAAATGACAATCACAAGTTAACACTTGCTGGTAGCTGAGTTTGCAACAACGATGTTTCGTCAAAATCGCTCGAATTCTTACATCGCGCGTTAACATTCTTTTCGCATTTACCTTCGGACATTTTTCTCTCTGTTTCTACGGGCCTATCTATGTAGAAGCCAAGTTTGCAACGTGAAATGCATTCTGACGTTTGCCACAAATTCAGGAGCGACCACGGGAGGATAATCAGACACCTGCTCAACGTCAAGCAGCCGCCAAATTAGCCTTAAGGAAGCAGCTTGAGAAGACACTACTGCAAATACCACCGCCGAAACCGCCGCCTCCGGAGATGCATTTTGTACCGAACCCCTCCAACACGGAGTTCATATATCTGGTCGGTTTGGAGCACGTGGTTGATTTCATCACAAAGGAACCGGCTATACCGCCACCTCCCGAGCCGTTCGAGTGTTCGCAGTGCAAGACCGATTTCACACCAGTATGGAAGTGGGAGAAACCTCTGCCAGGTGCTAACAAGGACAGTCCCAGAGGACAACACGCGACCTTCCAGCGACCCGCGGCGGGTCGCGATCCGAAAGTTATATGCGAGCATTGCGTGACGACTAACGTGAAGAAAGCGTTAAAAGCAGAGCACACCAATCGGTAAGTATACTACTTTCCTTTGTATACCGTTAAATGGTACATCCAGATAACTCGTGGTTACACTCTGACTGACCTTTGACTGATAACGGACGCATGATACAGACGAATAAAAGAAGAAGAAAACTAGTATGTTGAAAGTGTGTGCTTGCTACATCTACTCTTTAGCGACCTATGAAGGCTCAAGCGATATTGTTTCCAGCAATATTTTGATCGATGGTTGCACGGTGTTGCAGATTAAAGACTGCTTTCGTGAAAGCACTGCAGCAGGAACAAGAGATAGAACAAAGGCTAGCGCAAGCGGCGTGTCCGAGTCCGGATCCTCCTGCTCCGAAACCAGTTCCTAAGGCAGCCACTCCCACGAGAAGAGTAGCCACACCACCTGCGCCTCTGCCGCAGGTACCTCCGGCACCGACGTTGACGCCAACGCCGCCAGCGCCGAAGTTGCAAGAACATCCTCTAGTAAAACTGGCTGAAAGTGGAAAGTTCAGCCCGCACCACGCAGCGGCTGCAGCGGCTTTGCAGCAACAGTTGCTGAGAGGTAGGCGAAGCCGTGTGGACACTCATCAAAGTTACAGAAACACAAAAATGATCAGTAAGACAAAGTGGATATATGAGAATTGCAAGATTAGAACGAAAGAACGGGAAATTTGGAGTGAAATTCTATCGTACACAGGGCTTTAATCTCGAGAGAGTATCGACTCGAAGAATCAGTACAAAATCCTCCTCCTGCCCTCCTAGAGCTTGAATAAACTCTCGCGAATGTCAGCCGGCTCGTTATTGGCCGAGTGCAAAAGTTTCGCTGGATTTCGTGATAGCGAAAAGATGAATCAAGTAATTTTATTCAGTTTAGTTGTAAGTACTGCTATGAGATATAGGGAGGGAGGAGGTTGTTCCAATTCCTTGGCAAGTTAACCGATAGTAGTTCAGTCATATGTCTATCTTTGTCCAAGTTGAAGGAAAGACAAAGACAAACACATACGATTTAACTATCCAAGTTAACTTACCAAGGAATTGGAAACAACCTGCCCTAAATCAGTCGCGATATTTTTGAGGAACCCGTGAAAATTCTTGCGCTCACACTCTCGATGCCGACGAATCCTATCTAATCACGCGAAACAATGGCGTTTTTCAGAACTGGCGAAAAATCCGGTGCCGGGCATACCGCCGCATCAGCCTCTGCCCGCTCACATGATGCCGCCGTTCACTTCGATATTGTACCCCTATCAATTGGCGATGGCGCAGGCTGCCGGTGGTAAGGGTCTTGTCGAACTGCAACGACAAGCGGCAGATCTCCAACGTCAGTATCTGCTCGACATGATACCGTCGCAGGCGTCTCAGGCGCAAGGCAACCAAGCGCCACCGAGGGCTCATCCGCACAACTGGAAGACGTAACCGGACGCATTTAAAAGAACGAACAGTTAAACGCGCGCTCGGATGTTGCGGCGTGCGCACACGTGTGGTAACGGGAATACGGAGACTCTCCTGCTCCTCTGTGTTTGTTATGTATATCTATTGATGATGAAAAAGGGAGGGGGGACTCTCTCTCTCTCTCTCTCTCTCTCTCTCTCGGGGAGTGTCGTTTCCGAGCGCCGTGCACGATTGACCACGGCTCTCGCTCTCTGTCTCTCTGTGCACCTAATGAACATTTTAAATAACTTTCACGCCGATCGATATCGACGTTGACGTCAAGGTGAAGCTCAAATTGATACATGTTCGAGAAATGACTGCGTATATAAGTATTGTGTAAAGAGTGATTAATCGTTGTGAATATATGTCAATTCACATGTGTGTACGTATGCAAGACTTTATCGTTATGTCCAAAGGATTTAAGGTTTTATTTTCAGCCATCGAATGTCTCTTAACGCGATGATTAGTTCGAGTACGCGAACGTCGCTTAAAGGAGAAAAGAGGAAACGAAAAAAAAAAAGAAACGTTTCGACCGCGTATCGATTTCCCCGATGGGGACTAACGGAATTTTTCACGGAATTATTTTTTTCTTTTTCGTAAATAGTATGTATGCATTATTGTTTTTCCTTATTGTCCACAGAAATAGTAAATAAACGTAAAAAATGATAATCGAATTGTGTCTACGAACATATTAATAACTTGGGTACGAAATATCTAAACGAGAGAACACAGTCGTTTGAATTATTATCATACGATATAATATAAAGAACCAAATAAATATCTACAAGGCACTAACTAAACCAGATAATAAGTGTTGAAACACGACTACGAATCGGTTGATTAACGATAAAATAGCTGTGTGATTACGATGGGGCGGGACGGGGGAAGGGTAAGGATGGAAAAAAGAAGAGAAGGAGGTGGAGGAGGAGGAGGAGAGACGAGTGCGACGCGAAGTGTCGTTACGAAGTCGATGGTGAAAGAATCTTTTTTAGGCTCTCGTTAGGTGGTTAAGCCGATCTTTGCCGCGCTGGTTTCAACGTGTTTTTTGCGACCACCCGGCAGTACCTGTACTATGTGTATATCTCTTTATTTTCTTCGAATTGTATTTTTAAGAGAAATTTCACGCAAGATAGAGTTGCGTAATTACGTAAGACGGAGGAGACGAAGGATGAACTTTGTAAGGCGCGTGTGTGTGTGTGTGTGTGCGTGCGTGTGCGCGTATGTTGGTGCGTGTGTATGTGTGTGTGTGTGTGTGTGTGTGCGCGCGTGTGTATATGTGCGCTCATGCACGCGTACGTATGTGCGTTAGTAATTAGCAAGAAGAAAGCGAATGTGGGAGTGATATAGCAATCTTTTTGTTTTTTCTCTCTGTCTCTCTCTCTCTCCCCCTCTCCCTCTTTCTCTTTCTCTCGATACACGGTGGAGCATGTATCGGCGAATTTCTCATGGAGTGACACACATCCGTGTCATCCGCGCACAAAATAATACGAATTTCTCTCACACGTAACTCGCGCATACAGCTCGCGTGTATCGGACTCGGTCGTGACTCTCTCGGCCATCGAGATCACAAGACTCAACGACTTTGGAGTTCTCGGCGTTAACGCGAGACCACAGCGATGGCCAGCGATGGTGTGTTAATGTTGGTGATTCGGGTTAACGCGCGACGCGATTGATTTTGTGTCACTTTTAATGTAAAAGTATTTAAAGAACTTACTATAGGAGATAATCGAGGTTCTTTCCAATTGTTACAAACGAACCGGCGACACCGCCGAATTTTTACAACGTCCTCTGGAAAAGAAGTCTGCACTTAAACGAGTTAAAGGCATCCGGCACTTGTCCCAGCAAGCTATTAATTACCAGTTCCTCCCGCTCTTCTCTCTCTCTCTCTCTATCCATCTATCTATCTTTCTCTCTCTGTCTCTCTCTCTCTCTCTCTCTTTCTCCACTAATAGTCTGATTTTATTGATTCTGGGCTAACCGATCTTGATCATACATTTCCGAATCAATTAAAATATATAGTACTGTAGTCTTGATATTTCTTGGTATATGATACAACTTAATAAACTAAAATAGCATAATTATCTCTTTGTACTACGTGATAGATTTTGAACTCGTACTTGATATACATGTACACCGTAATAAGTCTACGATCGCATAATAGATCAAGATCTGTGTTTTTTGTGTAAGAGAAAACAGAATAATAATATCGTCGACTAATTACCGATCATCGGGGCACTACTACCAACGTTATCGATCTTTAAATAATGGTGAAGAATCGAACATACTTCGGGACTTTAATTTGATTTTTCGACTCTCTTGACTGCGAACGGCGATACTCGGTGCTTTCTCTTCCTCTTCGAAATTCACTCTTTCTCTCTCTCTCTCTCTCTCTTTCTCTTTCTCTCTCTAACGACGCAAGTGTGCCACATAAGAGAAAAAAAAGAAAAAGAAAAAAACATGCGTGACTCTCGAAATTCACTACGTCGATCCGGTTGAGAGTAAATTGTTATTATTATCGTCATCATCCACGGGTAAACCGACTGCGTCTTATTCGGTGATTAGATTGCATCTCGTTTCTTATGGGAAAAAAAGAGAATAAACACACGTTTCCTTCTATCCTTTTTTTTTGTTCTAGCCTTGTCTTTCACATCTTTGTGTGGTGCTGTTAGCGATTAAGCGTACTCTGTCTCTCTCTCGGATGTGTGGGAGAAAATTTTATACCCTGAGAAAACGAAAACGGCCCCATTTCGCTACACGACAGGAACGAGGGATGGTGAAAAAATTCAGCGGGACTGTAGAATTTCGAAAGAAAAGTTTCATGGGGGGGAAAGAAGAAAAACGGAAACAAATGCCGAAAAGAAAACGAGTTTGTCTGGCCGCGCGCGCTCCACGGGGACACGGACGTTTTATCGTTGCAAAAAAAGAAAAAGAAAAACAAAACCGTCGAGAAGCCTCGAACGGACACTTTCGCCACATCAACAAAGGACACCGTGACACGCGCACATTCTTTTGATTTTGTTACGACGAGAAACAATGTTGCGTATATATTCTTTGCCAAAATTCGTGCATTGATCTTGAAGTGTCTGTCTAAATGAGCAGCTCTGTCCCTACGATTTATAGAATTAGTGGATAAATACAAGATTACCGAATACTCTGGAAACTGTATGAATAAAGCTTATCAATGATTGTATTAAGAGGTGATGTTTATTTATCTTTCATCAAGTAATCAACGTTCGTTAGATGCATTCGAGAGAGATGCGTCAGCGAGATTTTTGTCAGCAACTTCGTCGATCATATTTCGTCAACAAGCAAGAAGCAATAAGTAAAACGCTGGTGGCGCGCGCAAACTCGTGCGTTCGCAGATTCTTCTTGGAGTGAAGCTGCGATTAAACTCGAACGACGAACCAGAACACGATATCACGCAGTGCGACATTTCTCGCTCTTGCATCGTTTCAAGATTGCGAGTAAACCAACGAAGAAAATGCGGACTTACAAGTGGAAAGGTGCGAGGTTCTTTTTGGAAATGTGTCCATTGGAGATGATTTACTGTTACCGAAGAAATTATATCAAGTATCGATGATAATGACGCAATTAAACGACGAATACAACATCCCTTTGTGCGCGTGTAATTGAAGGTGAATCTCTCTCTCTCTCTCTCTCTCTGTCGTCCTCCCAAGCTCATCGAATCTCGCACTGCGGATCGCGCGTCGCGAGAGAGATACAAGCCTCGGTGCTTTCGTAACAAGATCATCCGTCGTGGTGAACCACCAGCGTCGTGGTAAACCGATTATTATCACAGACGAGGTCTCGATCTGACCCGCTAATTCTGCTTCTTCTCGTTGTGTTCCGTCAGGCATTTCTTGAAGTGCTTGGCGCAGAAAGGGTACAGCGTCGGATGATCGCACGTCCGGCAGGCTGCCGCGAGATGAGAGCAGCATCTCAGGCTCTCGCGGCAGCAGGAAGCCCACAAGTCCGGCCCGACAACGGCGCAGTTGTAGCAGAAACAGTCACCTGCAATGACATTTACATAAGAGACATGATCTGACGTGTCCATTTGATACTTTTCCCCCCTGAATCTTAAAACTTGCTTCGTCACAACGTATCCTGCGCGATACCGCATGTGCGTCCACATTTGACTTTCTGCCATGTCGAGCAAGATCAATTTCGAGTAAATAATGTGTTATTGAGTATTAGTGTTATATAATCGAAGTAACAGTTACAAACAGTATCGATACTGGTCTCTTTAGACTGTTTAGGGCCGGTTGTTTCGACTTCTTGGCAAGTTAACTGACTGACTTAAATCATATGTTTATCTTTGTTTTTGCTTTAATTTAAACGAAGACAGATTTAACATACGATTTAACTATCAGTATTAATTTACTAAGGAATTGGAACAACCCTTAGACCGCCCTTAGACCCTGACCCGGCCTGAGAATTCCTCGCGTTGCATCTGAATGCCCTTATCGTCGACATTATTCCATCGATATATCATCGTACGCTCCCCAGAGAAGAACATCCAGACGTCCGCGAGAAATCGACATATGAGCGCGATTTGCTCTCCTCGGTACTCTCGCTGTAATACTTTCTCCTGTCCGCGTCGTTGTGTTGCGTCTCGCATGTGTCACGCAGGTTGCACCATACACACGCTGCATACCGCTTTGCGTGAGTGTGCTTATCAAAACGATTTATAAAAAATAAAGAGAAGAAAAAGGAGAAAAAAAAAGTCTCAAATGCAGGAACAATCGAAGAGAGACTTGCAGATCCAAGCCGCGCTTTGTGGAAAAGAATGATGATTCCTTCTCGTATCGTTAGATACGCGCGGCGCGAGGCATTAATCCGACGCATCGCATTCCGGAGTAAACGCCGCGCGCGAACATAGTCATCTGGGAGCGGCTATTGCCAAGGTCAGCATCTCTATTGTCAAAGCGCGAGCAGAGTGATGCTTCTCGTAACAGCTCGAGCAAGCTCGCTAACGGTGTCGCGCTCGGACATTCGATCCGCCCCGTGCGAGACTGTTCTCCGGAGCCGCGGTATTCCGCGGGGATTACCTCGCGGGCAGTCGACCGATCGGCGAGCCTCGGCCCTTCGGCACTCCAAGCCCTCTTCGCCCATGGGGCAGCTCGTGAAGGATGTCTCGATGGAGTTCTCGCCGAGAATCGCGTCGATCTGGAAGAAAGAGACGACGTCTTACGTTACTTAAGCGCGGTACTTTGTTCGCTCTCGATAATTTGCTCTCCTTACTTCCTCAAGCAGCAATCTCGCTCAATCGAGGCGAACCGTCTGCGGACGATAGCACAGATGGGTTCGGAGCACAAGCAAAATGTTTCTTATCCGATGTTTGTATTTAATAATCGTCGCTCGAGGCCAACGTTGGGCATTAAGCGGTTGACGAAAATGATTTTTGGTTGACTAAAATGATGAAGATTAAACGTGAAACTTTTGCATGTCGCAACATTGCACGTGACTGTGTCCAAGCGATTACTTTGATTCAATTGCCTGCGTGTCGACAATTTTATCAATTGATTGAACTATTCATAATTTTCACTCGATTAATTTTTACTACCAATTTATTGCGGATCTTATCCTCCAACTAAAATCTTAATCGGTAAAGATACCCAACATTGTTCGAACTCAAGTGAGACACTCGGATTTGAATTTGAGTTAGAGTTATGCGAGTTTATCAGTTGAGTGATATCACATGACAATGACATTTCGCATTTGTAGTCGCGGCGGAACCAGGAACTTTCTCCGTGTGTAACACGCGTAATTGATTGCTCGTACTTGACTGTTGCATCACAACTGACGACGAAACTGATCCGTTTGGAATTCTAAATTCGAGCTGGGCGAGACCATTGAACAGTCTCCATTACCGCACGAAATGCCAGGTATTCTTCTCCTGATGCAACATACGTACATCTGCATTTGTGATCTCATCTCGTGAAATGATGGTGAGTGAAGAATGTTGGGTGTCACAGCTCGTGCACAGCGTGTGCGTGGAGTGCATCTGGCAGAAAGGTGAGGATTTATTAGTAAGGGTGGCGTCGCAAGCTATATTAAAATTTAGTCACAGGAAATAAATCTTACGATACGTACGCAAATTACGCTACGTGCATTCCGCTATACGACGCTTGAGGAACTTTAGAGTGGCTTTCGCTAAACTCTGATCTCAGACTAATTGCACAAAATCGTTCTGTCAAAGCAGCTGTCGAGTTAACTGCAGCTTTGTTTCGACGAAATACATCGAAATTTTAAATTTCTCGATTATTGTCGAACGACAAATTACTGACAACCCAGACAGCACATGATCTCCTGGGGACGTCCTATGGACGTCCTGTGGATGAAGAAACGTCCCCAGGACGTCCTTAAGACGTACTTTGGACGTCCTCTGGACATCTGTGCTGTTAGGGAAATACACGGAAATAACTATACACGGCCAGAAATTGATGCTTCGCTCCATTTTGCTGGTTTTTCATCAGCTGACTCAATCAGAGCTTGTGGTGAAAGTCTCCCTTCGAGTTATCAGCGAGAACCAACTTACTCGTTTAAACGCGCCCGGTTTGGAGAACATTTTAACCAGCTTCGCCAACGCGTTCTCCGCGTGCGTTTGTTCCAGGACGTTGGTGACATTTCCGGTGAAGCCGCGTGTCAACAAGCAGAAGAGCAACGCGAGCGCGCACCGACCGGAAGACATCGCGCAACGAAACGTGGCGGAAGAGAAACGACAGGATCGACGAGTTCGCACGCTCGCTCCCGCGCGTTTAAACTCGCGTGATTTTAAATACTGTCCCTGCTTGACAGATGGTCCGCTGGGGGGCCCAGCGAGTGTGAGGCGGAAGTCACCGAGTTCAGCCGAGATGAGCCGAAAAGTGCTACCTCCACCCCACTCCACATTTCGTTGTCCATAAAAGATGTTTTTTGAATATCGGATCTTCAAATATCTACGATTCGAGAGGTGTTACATGATTGCAATCTCTCAGATATTTTTAAGTTAAAAAATGAAAGGAATAACAGAGAATAACTAACTATCTCTCTTTACCTCTATTTACCTACGCTGAATTGCTGTTCTTGATGTTGCGCATGCGCTGGTATTGGGATCCTTCTCGTGTCTTGCTGTCGCGGCCAGTAGTGGTTGATAGTGGCGGTGAGGTTCATGCGAGAGTTAATGTGAAATGTCAAAATGGCGTCTTCTCAGGACGCTTGGTATCTCTCGTTGTTGGGCCTGGCCGAGAATTTCCGCACGTCGAACCCGCCCAACATTAAATCGTGCATCCAATGTCTGCAGGCGGTTTTCAACTTTAAGCCACCGCCGCGCGTCGAGGCACGCACTCACCTTCAGCTCGGCAATATCCTGCTTACGCACACGAAAAACATCGATTTGGCGCGATCCCATTTAGAACAAGCGGTCAGTTGGTACCTTGTTAATTTCTCTCTGCTCGCGCGTATCGGGATCAAAGTCGGTCCTGTTCCTTCCGTTTTTCCTTATCTTTTGTATTTCTGTAATTCCCACCTAACGCACCACTTCTTTTCCAGTTTCTAACCTCACCCCGCTGATAACGTATCAAATAATGAATTTATCTAGCCCATTGAGTGAGTTACGTTGGTGAATAACGATTAAAATTAATTATTGCAGTGGCGATTAAGTCAAAATATAAATACTTTCGATGATGTGAAGTTCGAAGCTGCTAGTATAGTCGCGGAATTATATGAGCAACAACAATTGCCAAATCTGAGCAAACCCATATTGAGGAAGGCGATAGAGCTGTCCCAGCATAATGTCTACTGGCATTGTAGACTTATTTTCCAGCTCGCAGTGAGTCTTATAAAGAATTATTTTATAATTTCACACTTGTGAAAGATCAATATATTTACATAATAATTTATAAATTACAGCAAATTCATGCTTCGGAGAAAGACTTTGTTGCGGCGAGCAGTCTGCTCGCAGTGGGTGTTGATTATTCCCACATAAGCAATGCCAGTTACACCAGAGTCCTCTTCCTTCTAAGTCGGTGTATGCTTTTGCTGATAGATAAAAAGTTTTCAGAAGTTCATCCTCTTTTGAACTCAGCAGGTCATCATGTAGAGAACTGGCAAGGCAGTCCGCACCAAAAAGAATATCTGAAAGTATACTTTTTAGTTCTTCAAGTTTGTCATTATCTCATGGCTGGTCAGGTAAGGAGAAACTTACAAAAGTTATTAATAATAGAAAATATACACAATTATTAATAGTAACAAATATATACAGTGCCAGATCCAACAACATACGTGAATGCGTGTATATTCTCCTTGTTTAAAATAGGTAAAAAGTGTAAAACCTTGTCTGAAACAATTACAACAGAGTATACAGACCATAATGTCTCCTAGTTGGCCATCAGATGATGTGGTTACAGGCACAAACATAGGAGATATGTTTATATGGATGCCGAAAGATCATCTATATGTGTTGGTTTACTTGGTGACTGTCATGCATTCTATGCAAGCTGGATACATGGACAAAGCGCAGAAATACACAGATAAAGCTCTCACCCAAATTGAAAAGTTGAAAGGTAAATTTTTTTATCTTCGACTCCTTGTATTAGTTAATTCAATATCTGGTTCAAAATTAAATTCTTTTGTTTTGCAGTTGCTGATAACAAGCCTATACTCTCAGTGTTTCAATTAATGCTCTTGGAACATATAGTTATGTGTCGGCTTGTAATGGGAAACAAAAGTGTGGCTCTTGCAGAAATTTCTCAGGCTTGTCAACTCTGCAGGCGACAGCCGAGGTTACTTCAAGGTCATAGACCTCAACTACACGCGTTACTAGGTTTATACGCAATGTCAATGAACTGTATGGAAGCTGCTGAGGCTCAATTTACTGCTGCGCTCAGAGTAAGTACACAATTATATTATAGTGATATGTTTTAGCATCTTGAATTCGGCTAATGATGTACTATTATGTGTCGGGGTAAGGATATATTCTTGTATCATTGATAAAAGATCTCAGGTATCACTTCAATTGCTTTGGTATCACGTTTAAACTTAAATTTAAGGAAAGTTCTTTTTTTTTACATAGTTTGATAGAATTCTAACTGTAATTTTGTCAATTTTGTGGATATCATCAAAATACTCTGAGAACATATCCTTAAGGCTTGAAACTTGAGGGAAATGGGAAAAAGTGAAAATTTTGTTGTTTGATATGAGCAAATCTCCTTAAAGTATAATTTTGACTTACGTCGATAAAACACAAACAATGAAGAAAGAATTATTTTTATCTTTTTTTAGACATCACACGAAAGGGATCTCTGGACATTCGCGAACTTGAATTTAGCGATCGTATACCTCAGGACGAAAAGAGAGGCTGAATTGGGGGCGTTATTAGAAAGGATAAATCCAGAATCTCTACCGTCGAATTCTCATTCTTTAAGGGCAGCTGCATATTATGTACAAGGACTTCAAGCTTTCTTTGGTGCTAGATATAACGAAGCGAAGTATGTACATGATTTCCTTCTGTATTGTTTCTGTTACCCTCTGTAAAAAAAAATGTGTGATAATGAAATTCCTATATTTATATATATATATTTTTTTTTCTACCTTAAGAACAGACAGACAGACAGACAACAACGAGGCAAATTGAATTTCCTTCAAAAGGAAAAAAAAATAATATAGTTCAGATAATTTCATGACTAGCTCAAGATAATAGAATTATATGCGCATCGATACAAATATACTCAATGATTTCTCTTTTTCTCTTTTTTCTATTTTTTGTTTTTTTTTTCTTTTGTTACAGACGGTATCTTAGGGAAACTTTGAAAATGGCAAATTCGGAAGACTTAAATAGACTTACTTCGTGCAGCCTCGTGCTTCTTGGACATATATTTCTTTCGTTGGGAAATAGTAGGGAATCGATGAATATGGTTACACCTGCGATGCAGTTAGCTTCTAAAATACCTGATGTGCATGTGCAATTATGGGCTACAGCCATTCTCAAAGGTATATACATACGTACAAGTATAAGTGTATATAATTTTAATTCAATTAATTATACATACGTAATTGATATTATAGATTTATATGGACTCGTCGGTGACACTAATCACGAAAATGAAGCATATCAAATGCATTGTACATTCTCCCAAACTCTCTTGAAGGACCACTTTCAGAGCACCCAAATGAGCGCGCACTCGCTTATTCAATGGACAGAAGGTCCAGTGCCTGCTTTGCCGAGTAATCCACCACCATCTACGTCGCAAGCAATACTCTAATGAGAGTGAAATGAACGAGATTCTAATGAGAAATGAAATCAGTTTAAATTGTTCGACGAATGTTTGCCGAAGCCATACACGTTTGTACTACTTATTCATTGTTAAAGTGGAATTGGATTCAAATGTCAACTGGATATTAAACAAATGTTAATCGATAGTATGCTGAAAAATACTGAATTAATCAATATTGGATATATAATATCCAGGTTTGTTCAATATGTAACAATTTCACAAGGATTCATTGCAACTGATTGTAGCTTTTTAATTACAGAACTTCGTTTTGATAATGATTTACAAGTTGGATTACACTGCACAGTACAGGAACTGACTATACATTTAAATCGCTCTAATATGTTTTGTTGATTTCAGTTGATGTATTTTAATGTAAATTAAATTATTCATGCATTATTTTGTTTTTCTTTTTTTTTAAGCATTCTTTATAAGGACTCATGTCTAAACATATGAGTCGATTATACAACATTAGAATGTAAATCAGATGAGTCTATTTATATTATCAATATAAAATAATATACTTTCGTATTATAACGAATATATTTTAACATATAATAAGTTTTTAAATTGTGCATCAGCCTCTTGCTATTCATGTTACTTTAAATTTACAATGTCGCGTTACTGGGATACGCGCAAAATCTTGGAGGAAGGAATATAAATGACTTACTTTCGTCGCGAATAAAGAAGAAAGGAAGTGGAGAGGGGATATTTTTAAATTAAAGCTTGTATATATTGTATCATGACGATTACGATAAAACTGGACTAATCAATTCTCAAACAAGTTTGATAAATTACCTGATTATCAAGAGGATTTGACTGTTTTTTTTTTTTTACCAAGTGCTTTTTTTAATGACCAAAGTGAAATACTAATAATTTGGCTGTGGACATAACAAAAGAGTGGAATATGTTCATTAAACAGTGTAGTAGGAGATGATAAAATAGGTATAGAAATTTGCGGGTCGCTTAAAACAAATTTTTTACCTATTGTACATCTAAGATGAGTGTTTTTCAGTATGTGTATTTTGATTAAAAACAAAAATGATATATATGTATTGTATAAGCATAATAAAAATGTAATTGTTATTAGTATTAATTATAATAAGTAAGAAGAAAGGGGCCTTAGAACGTGGTAACTTAAATTGGCTAGAGAATTTCGCGCGGAACTCTTTGCTACGTTTAAGTTACTCTGAATATATTTTGTACATACTTGTAGAAGTAAGAAAAGAACGATGAGAAAAATAGAGAATGCAATACGAGCATAACTTTGTACAAATATTCGACCCCTTTCTTTCGTGTAATTATAAATAAGTACATGACACAGTGCAAATCTTCTCGTTTGTATTTTGCTTTCCTCCCATATGTTATAACTCCTATGTGCTCGCGTCTGGTTTGATACTAGGAATTTTTTGCTTGTATATCGCATTAAATGAAAAATATACAGTCGCATTTTTCTTATGTATTATTTCAAACAAAAAATGAATTTCATATCATGTAACATTTGTTGTTGAGCTGTTGCTCGACTCTCTTTTCCTCTACCACTTTCACCTGCCTTTAACATATTGAGAGATAAAGTTGATGCGGTTCTGTAAATCTGTATAAATGTTACTGTCCAAGTCCGAGTCATTGACACAATACAATTTACAATTGCACTATGTCATTATATTATTTCTCTTGCGAAGGTAAATCCAAGACGGATCAAACATTTGTTTAACAAAAAGAATATGAAAATTTTGCGGCACATTTAGATCATTAATTTACAGGCATGTTGTGCTATGCATTAATAAAATTTAAAATAAAAAAAAGTGTGAAGTTTCTACATTTTTTTTTATTAGAGAATTGCAAAAGTTGATCGAATCGTTTAAATAATTATTTTGTCACATTTTGAACTATTGAACTCATCAATAATTTGGCAAACTTCTGCAAGTCTCTAATATTATTTTTGTTTGTCTAAAAAAATTTTGATAAATTTTCTTAATAAATTTCAAAGTTTAATCTTTTGTAACAATAAGAGGTAATGCAAATAATAATGTAAAATATCTTTATCTTTTTTGTGATATACTGTCAAATATGTTAAAGAAACAAATCTCGATATGGAACAAAGTTTATTTTCTCAAATGCGATTTATTTGGTCAATCACATTCTCATGACTTATTGTATATCTACCACATAATTATGTCACTTAGTTTACAGCTTTTAAGTAGCCTATACACAAATTGCTACAAACATATATATTATATATTACGATCTGTACCAGACTTGCACATTTTGCATTCGTTTTATTTTCTTCTGTAATTGGAGAACTCCATACAATAATGCCTCAGCCGTTGGGGGACAACCTGCAATATTGAGTTAGTGATTAGTGTGATTGAGCTAGAGATTAGTGTAGGAAACAGAACAACTGCAAGATAAAAGCAAAAACCAGATTTACCAGGCACGTAAATGTCCACAGGTATAATCCTGTCACAACCTCTAACCACAGAGTAGCTATAATGATAATATCCGCCTCCATTTGCACAACTGCCCATTGAGATGACCCATCGTGGCTCAGGCATCTGATCATAGATCTTTCTTAAAGCAGATGCCATTTTATTCGTCAATGTACCAGCAACTATGATACAGTCTGATTGACGAGGAGAAGCACGGAATACAACACCGAATCTGTCCATATCATATCTCGGTGCTGCTATATGCATCATCTCCACTGCACAACAGGCTAAACCAAAAGTCATCGGCCACAGTGATCCTTTGCGTCCCCAATTCAACAAATCATCCACTCTGGCTAGGGCATATTCTGCCATATTATTGGTATTCTGAAAGGGACTGTAAGGCTCGACTTTGGGTTTCTCTGGCAATGGAAACTTTGTCTCCTGCACGGATGACTCTGTGGCCATGTGTTTAACCTGAGTCTTGGCAGCAGCGGTGTATCCTGTAGCTGCCACATTGTTACACACCAGGGACAGTAGTCCCTGAGGAACATTGCCTAAAAAGAAAATAACGAAAGTAGTAAGCACAGATATCATTGCATGTTTACATCATCACAAATACCAGTGCCATTCGCGTTGTGACCGCACTTTGGTATCGTAATCCGAAATAAATTTATAATTACACGACGAACAAATGCGCATTGATTTTCGTAGCATAAATTCAGACGTAATATTATGCAATACCATGACATTAGAGAGAAAAGAGCAGGCAGACTGACGTTTACTCCGGCATTATCGATTAATCGCGAACCAGAGGCATATGATATCTCATTTTATATATCTTTAACAGAGGATGAAACGCAACATATCGCAATTAACGCTCCGTCAGAATACGAGAATGCGCAGCTAATGATAATTGACAAAATTTACAACGGGATACTTACGAGTAAGTGCAACGGAACGAAACATTTTTGCGCCGTCCCAAAGTCGCCAGAGCTACATCGTAGATTACGCACTGAGTGTTGTTCGCAGGGACGTCTTCTTGCGCATGCGTGTCTGGACGCGGTCACCACGAAGTAGTGTATACAAAATCATAAGTGTCTCTTTTCGAGCCGACTGCCTAATCATCTCATGATCTTCCTCCAAATGGAGATCACAGTCGAGATAATATTTTAAAGTTCTTAAACATTATTTTTCTTATCTTTGGAATTTCTTATTTGTGTTTCAATCTTCTACACGCCTTTCTCGCTCGATTGGCACTCGTTGATGGTGGTTGCATTAATCGCAAAATTTTACGTGTTTTTCGCTCGATCAATTTTTCTCTGCTTTAATATTTGCCGACTGGTTATTACACAACAGCATTCAATCAATGATTAGACAATTGAAATAAATATCGTGATTAAACGACAGACTTCAAAAATCGCTTTATTTGCTTTACATACACCCTCATCTTCGCGCCGACCTTCGTCGCGACTATTTAGGAAAATTACGGAAATTTAACAGTTCCATACTACTAATTCATACTTCCGCCTTGAATATATTATTTTTATCGATAATAGTTATACATATGAACGAAGCGCGACAATATTTTACAAGGCTATCACGCTGAATATATCCAACTGTATTAAACATCACAGAAATAATCTTCGCGTAATAACAGTATTGCAATAGCAATTCTCTTGAAGAAAATTTTTAAGCATCTATTTTTATCATTATCATCGCCTTATATGGTACAAGCTCTACGCTCCTTATATTTACGTGTATGTGTGTATATACACCATATATTACCTCGTTGTATATTTATATTACTACAAAAACATAAAAAATTTTCTTTATACAGTAAACCCTAACAGCTTTGGGATGACGATTCTAACCATTTCCTTCTGAAGAAAAGTTAGCCTCAAGAACTACAGATATAACACGATCATTTTGTCTCTTAAACTGTAAGTTTTTCTCTTTTCTTTTTCTTTTTTCTCTCTTTTTTTTTCCCCTTTTTTTTCTAGACGCATATGCGACATTAGATATACAGAATGATGTCTCAGAACTACGATGAAATATTTTAATTAGGATATAATCTCTGGAATCATATTATTCTCGGAGTAAAACATTTAATTAAGATTAAAAATCCTAATACACACAAATCTTGCGGTAACATTCATTTCCGAGACAGGAATCAAGGATTTTTTTTAATCAATTGCTGTTATTACATAAATATATAATTAATCATATTGCACACAATTCGAATGCTCAAGCTCATACTCAGAAATCAAAGAAAGACAGGAGTTAAACAGTGAACATAAACGCGTGACTGGTATATGCATATTACAAGTGATTATAGACTTCAATTTTAGTCATTGCGAAATATCCATATCGACTTTTCTGATCAATCTTCCGAATATACTGCCAAAATATTTCACGATTGTAATGACACATCCTTGCATATGATCTGTACATATATATTCATTGAAAATGTTTTCTTTTCACGTGATAATAGTCCCTCATCTTAAGCGTTTGATGTCGATCACTAATACACGTATATCAACATTTATGTATATTTATATAATAGATTTAGATACAAAAATTGTATTTCGTAAAACTGATCAGACTTTCGTGGAGTGTGTGTATGAAATCCGTCACGAGTTAAACGCTTATGACTCTCTACAGACTGTCTAATATCTCTAGAATTTCGTTTATCACGTTTCCGTAAAGTGCGAAGTAAAAGAAAGCCTTTACGACTTTTACGATAGAAGGTCCAGATGGGATTAAATGACATTTGGCTGGTCCGGAATAAGCGAGGCGAAGAATGAACTGAAGAAGGTCCAGGTATAGGCGAGGGCGCCTGGTCGTTGCTCCTCGTTCTCGTTGGCGTTCGTCCGTGGCTCCGGCTGCACAGTTGGCACTTGAGCGTTTTGTTGCTGCGGCACGGCTTGTGGTCCCATCACTTCATTGTGCAGAACCTGGTTGTTGTTGTCCGCGCGACCGTTGTTGTTATCCGCCAATAAGATCGCCCGTTCCCTGAAGAAACCGCCTTGATACCTGGATACGACCAACGGATATATTGTCGCATCTTGCAATCAATTGAAAACGTCTTGAAAAGATAGCAATGAACAGTATATGTGGAAATACGAAATACACTAATATCCAGCTATTCATCACCTAATTTTCCTTCAAAGTATCGATGCGCAAGTTTCAGAAAATCAATTGTACTTACAAATATATCACAAATCCTAGAAACGTGACGATGAGGAACCTGAGGGGGGACGAGTAGAAATACACTATGCCGAAGAGAACGACAATCCTGGATAACATATAAAAGAAATCCAACCAGTCGCGATTAAACGCAGCGTCTTCCCCGACATTTCCCGCATTAATGTCCGCCGCGTCTTGCGCCACCGCCGCCGCTTGGGCCTGTTCGTCGCCGACATTGTTGTTGGCATTACTGTTTGCCGTGTATGTGTTTTGAGTCATATCGTTCGTATTGATGTTCATCTGCTGCAGATACGGAACACTGGCTTGTAATTGTACGCCTTGCGCAGTCATGCTGTGGACAAATGATAAGAGACCAGACATTCTACGTGAGCGCATGTGTTATACTTGTTAAACAAGACTAAGTAAATGATAAGAAAGGAGAGTAAACAAACTTACAGTTGCATATACTGTGTGAAATAGTGCGTATATGCCTGCATCCATGCTAGCTGTTGGCTATTTTGAGGGTCAAAATATTGCTGAGGCGAATATATCTGTTGAGGTTGTGTAGTGACATTAGCATTCTCGTAGCTTTGATTTTGAACAACATTAGTTCTCATACGGATGTTTCTTGTTACATCAATATTCTCGGTTGTTTCCGTATGATCAGATGTGACTTTGCCAGTCCATGCTTTTTGTGATGTACAGACTAAGTGAACAGTGTACTCTTGATCTTCTGAATCATTGCATTGCCTTAGAACATCCTTTAACCTTGCCGAATCATTTAGCAGTTGCCCGGAATATATTAATTTTTGGTGCGAACTTTCCTGCAAATATAACAACTCATGGTAGTTGTTATTTCTTAAATGTTTTTAATCTAATAATACATAACAATAGCAGCAAAAAATAATCTGAGCAGCAAGATAAAAAAAAACAAAATTTAAAAAATTGACAGACTTATGAGATTTTGAAAACTTTTACACGATAACAACATACTCTTCAAAACAAATAAAAAGAGCTTTCTATAGCAAATTAAATAGTTACTCGCTGTTACACATAACATAGATATATAAACAGACATGCCAAAGCAAATTAGTCGCCACTAAATACACTCTACCACATCTTATCTCTCAATGTTGTCAAAGTACAAGTGAATTGATGACACACTATTCTACATCTATAGCTGTATTTCTCAGAAGGAGTTTTATCATGTAATATATTCAACATGATGTAACACGTCTAGTTAAGTGCTTCTCCTATTTTTAACTCAATTACCACGCTCGTCATACGCGCGGTTTCAACGTCAACCGGCACGGTATTTTAATCCGGATTTTAATCCGGAAGCAACGAAACGTTTCCGCTCACCACCGCCCGTCGCAGCGGGCCAAAACAATCCGCGCGTCGTCGATTCGTCTGCGCTCGGCAAGGCGATTGGCAAGCCGAAGAAATTCACGCGGAAGAAAGGAGGTAGACACGCAGTAGGAGAAACGCGCAGCGCTTTCACCCGAATAGAAAGACGCGAGTACTTTCACGCGACTTACTGGTTTGCTGGGATAAACCTCGGACAGGTACTCCTTCAGGCGGCCGATGGTCCAGCCGAGGTCGCACTTCACCACTTGGTCCTTGATTTGCTGATTCGGCGCCTTTATAATAAGATTAACGGCGGCGTCTGCCATCCTCGCGACGGGAGGAGGACGTCGGCAGCTTGTCGGAGTCAGCTCTGTTGACGAAGTGCGCAACAGCGATTAACAATATCCGCTCGCTCGTCCTTGTAGAGTCGTCGTCGTCGTCGTCGTCGTCGTCGTCGTCGTCGTCGTCGTCGTCGTCGTCGTCGTCGTCCTCCTCCTCCTCGTCGCCCCGTACTTGTTGTTCCCGTCCCGTCGCGAGCGGCGATATCGAGAAATATGTCAGGCCTCTTTTCTCCTTCAGACACCTCTGCTCCGAGCTCGAGTTGATCGAGGAAAAGCCTCTCTCGCCGAATTACCAGCGCACTGTCGTCCTCGGAGCGAATTCACGTTATCGTTTCACTTGGCCTCACTACGATATCGCGCAACGCCGACACTATATTATTGCCACCGTCAAACGTCACATGATACCACTCGTGCAAATAACATCGCGCATTATGTGTACTCGCATCAAGACATCGTCGAGTCGCGTATCTGGCAATCGCTCATTGGTCCGAGAAATATCACGCGCGCGAGCCTTAAACCCGGTCTACATAGCGCGCAGGACGCAGACGCAGAAATTGACCAATCACAGTCAGCCATTTTCCTCGCATTCGACTTTCGCGTTCTGCGAGCTACGCAGAGACGGGACTTTACAGAAAGTCCATATCGCTCGCTCGATGTCCGACGGGGCTACGCAGCGCGCCATTGATCTTCAAATATTAGCGGGCTCATTCGATATTTACAATCCAGCACGCGCTATCGGGAATCTGCTGTTGAGTCTGTTAAATTTATTCACGTTGAATTTGTAACGCAAGTGTGACCGACGAACGGTTAGACACAGTGCTCGCGCAACTGAGAATTTCTAGTCTTCACCCTGTCCGGTCTAAAGGTCGAGAGATTAATGCTGAACTATCACACGATGTCCGATATTCAACAAGACACTTTGCTAAGCAACCATCCCCCCCTCCACGTACCTCCTCTTTGAGAGTAGAAACGTGAAAACTTTCACACGAAAAATCTCAAGTTTTTATAGCACAAAAATTTTCACGATTGCTAAAGGCTTCGAATTTAACGTCTCTTTTACTGCATTCCGCTATGTAACTTAATTAGGATTTAAATCCATTTCGGATCGGACATAAATTGATAAGAAATCGGGTTGAAGCGATTCACACCCGCATTATTCGAGAATGCTATAATTTAGGCTATAATTAAATATAATAACGGGGTTAACATTTCTGTAAATCCGTATTGGTAAAATAACAGTTCTAATAAGTAACGTAAACTCCTAATTTTTTATACTCCTTATTTAAACAAGCTATCTAATGCGATTTGAGTCTCAATTCGAAAATTTGTCTTTTCTAGTAAAAACTCAAACCACAATTTACCGGCCCCCATAAAATTTAGCCAAGATTCGATTCACATTTTATCGGCTCCGATTATATTTAGCTGAGACTTGAACCACATCAGTTCGCTCATATAAGATATAAAAATATTGACCCGTTATTTTGAGAGAGACTAATAAATCTACGTTATTTACTAAACCTACTGTTATCTCAACGAGCTAAAGTTTCTTTTAACTTATCTTCTAACTAAGCTTGAAATAAAACAATGTAAAACTTCTTGGGAGCAGCATATATTCCAGTTGCGTACAGTTGCGACAGCGAGAGAAAAAGGCAGATCCCTTTTTCAATCGCATTTTTTACACATATTAACGTAGAAATGTATTAAAAATAGACACGACAGGAGCGCACGTGAATCTATCGAGGCGAAAATGTATCGTCCTTTACAAGGTTTCCAGCGCAAACCGGAAAATTACACATAAGTTACTCTGGCTACTCTGGCGTTATATTGATAGATAATATAAATACAGACAGAGTCGTGTGTAATTTACGATAGAAAAGCGTCCTGTCTCAATGCTCCACCTCTCTACCGAGTCCTCACGCATCTAGATTCCTGCCATTGGACACGTTGCGTGTCTTCTGCGCCGCGTTGCTTCTTTCGATGCATAATCTCGCGGAGTTTCTTCAGCAGGATAAAGTTATCCCGCAGGATCCGTGTCTGTCGTTCGCGTTCCAGTTGCGATTTCTTCGCGTTGAAGAATACGTGAGGTCTGCCCTGTGGCGGGTTCACATCTACTGTCGGTTTGGCTGTCTTCACCTGCGAAGTCGCACAGAAACGATGAAATACAGTGAGATCATACAGCTGCGATTAGAATATTTTCATGCGAATGCGATATCGCAAAATACGATCGTCGTGACTAATGTGGCAATCTCGGGAAGGTATTGACCAGCCAAACTGTAGCACCAATCTGCCTCGACACACATCGAGATTCGAGTTTGAACGCTCTTCTACGTTTAGAACGCTGAGCTTGCAATCACGAAAATGACTCACTCTGGAACGGTGACTTTCGTACGCTCTACGCCGCCAGGATGGCTCGTCCTCGCGCGATCCTTCCCGTCTCGACATCCTACCTCCTTGACCGCGACCTTTGCGAATATTTACGCTGTACAGCGCTGAGAGTGCTACGAGAGTTTCTCTGGCAACGGAAGCGTCGCGCGAGATATCGATCTCGCGCTCGCCGTCGTTTCCTCGGCGTGCGTCACTCGCACATATTGCTGTCCCGGTTAACGCTCCTGCGAAAGATATTTCCCCGCAAATTGGAAAGTCCAGACGAGACAGCGCGATTTGTGCTCAAATGTGCGTACAAATATATACAAGCACGGAAAATGGACGAAGAGTTCCGATCTCTTCATGTCAGACGGCACAGCGAAAATACAGACTTCTGTTATATATTATATAGACTAGACCGGACTAATTGATCTCTTTAACAGGTCCCCTAAAAGTATGCACTAACCTATACGGCGCAGAAAGTTGCAGCAACATTGCTGCAACGTTGCGGCGATGTCGCTGCAATTTTCTGTGCTGTATGGGAAAATTTCGCGCATGCGCATTGCAAGGTCCCGAAGGGATTTCACTGCGCACCGTACAGGGGCACTTTTACTCCAGAAAATATTAATATTTATTTACTTAATATTTCCCCTTGCAATGTGTCGTAATATTTAACGACACATTATTCAATGTCACATTCAATGTTCATTCAATATATTTAATTTTCCTTCGTTTTTTTTTTTTTTTATATATGTAGAGTCCCATACTGTGCACATAAAGTTGAAAAAACGTTGCTGCAACGTTGCAGCAATATTGCTGCAACTTTTGTGCTATGTGGGATGCTGCTAACAGGATCTTGCAATGTGCACAGGCGCACGATTTTGTTTTAAACATAAAGGTCGTACATGAAAACCGATGGAAATTCTCAGTCCAGCTTATACATAGAAGTTTGTGAGCGAAACGAATTCACGTCGTACCGTGCCATGTTTTTCGCCTTTCTTGCCTGACAAACGGCGTGCGCGCGCGCGCGCACGCGCGCACGCATACACGCACGCACGAGTGTGCGCCGTGTACGACACGTGTGCGCATTTCTCCCTTCGCCCGTGGAGGCACGACACCGCGATTGGCGAGGTTGCTGGACCAATGACGCACGACAAGAGGCGGAGATTTGTTTCTCTTGACGAGGCGCGAGCGTGAAATCCCGTTCGCCGCGCTTGCTATTCATGCGAACAAACCTAATGATACACCTATTTTCTGTTTCGCCTGCGAAAAAACGGCTACGCCGACGAAAACATCCCTGTCGAGATAGATGCTACTTTCCTTGTTCCCGTCGACGTCCCTGAAACACGGATAAGAAGCGTCGAAGACGTGTCGAACAAAGAATTTACAACAGCACTTTGAGTCTCGTGCAGAAATAACGACAATTCCCGAGCCGATGAGCGAGCAGGACAGACGCGAGGATAATGCTCCTCTTCAAGTTCCTCCTCGTCGCAGCGTGTAGTGAATGCGAGATCAACAACGGTAAAGCCGAACGCGACATTGGTGTGCTGTCCTGGAGTCGCACGACAGAAAGGGAGGAGGAGGAGGAGGAGGGGGGGGGGTACAAATGGGGTGTCCATGAGTGCGCGCGGGTAACGTGAGTCGCGCGTTATGGAAGGTTGCCGATCGTAATCGCACGAATCTTGGACAATAACGCCGCCGAATGAACGGGCCCCGCCACTCGAGAGAGAGAAAGAGAGAAAGAGAGAGAGAGAGAGAGAGAGAGAGAGAGAGAGAGAGAGAGAGAGAGAGAGAGAGAGAGAGAGAGAGAGAGAGAGAGAGACGATAAAGACCTCTTCCCTTCTCGAAGGGATACGACCGAGGGAGTGTTGTACCTACTCCTAAGCAGAGGCAGCATCCGACAGCGCGTCCAAATGGGCACTCCCTCCTTTCCTTCTTCCCGTTTGCGACACGTACTTGCCATATATTATACCCACGAGCGGCCATGGAGATTCGCCGGTGGTGCAGCCCTCGCATTGTCATACAGAATGTAGACTCGCGACGAATCGCGCGACAGGATACAGGCGGGTGCCGAGAAACGGGTGCCGCCGGCGTCGATCGACTGGATTGAGACTTCAGTGAGAGGACCTGAGCGAAAAAGGGCGTATTAAGGAACTTAGTGAAATAAGGAATTCCTTTCTACGTATAAAACTCTCGCGCACGAATTGCCAGAGTGATGAACGTAAACTTGAGCTGGAGAAGCAATCAGCAAGAGTAGGTATCCTCGTTGCTGGTCGTCCCTCCAACTTGAGTTTACGTTTACATCTGTAACATTTGGAGCGCAACGGCTTTAATAAAATAATATAAGCTCTCACTCTCTCGTTTTCTCTCTCTCTCTCTCTCTCTCTCTCTCTCTTAGGGTCGATTGTTCCAACTTCTTGTTAACTGCCCAAACAGCACAGATGTCCAGAGGACGCCCAGAGAGTACGTCTTCAGGACGTCCATAGAACGTCCCCAGGAGATCATGTGCTGTCTGGGTGATAGCTAAATCATACATTTATCTTTGTTTTTCCTTTAATTTAGACAAAGACAGACATATGATTTAATAACCATCAGTTAACTTACCAAGAGGTTGGAACAACCTCTTGGTAAGTTAACTGATCGGCCCTTGGGCGATAGGGAACGCGATAGGTGTAAAAAGCCTTTGGTATTTGGTTCGTCTTGGCGGAAGTAACCAGTTAGGTGTAAAGACTGGTGTTAAGATTCAAAGACCGCGTTTGTCGGGACACGTGGAAGACACACATTTTACGCCAGAAATTACACGACAGCTTCGAGCTCGGAGCAAAAATCCGAAGGTTTATTACACCTATTGTGTCTCAGGTGCCTTAAACATCTCTTAGGACCTCCTTTGTGATTTACAACGGGTCGAAAGAACGAAACTGGATTGCATTATTCAGAGAGCCTGTGAAAGAGACGCGCGCGAGAGACCTTTTACAAACTGACCAGAAAATTAAAAGATCGCCACCTAGCTTTCACTATCGCTACCTACCTCTACCTCCGAAGGCCGAATCTAGCCGAGGCTAGCTGGATCTGGATGGACGATGGAAAAGCCCGTGATTCAGCGGCGATAAGAGAGGGGGGATCCATGGGGCGGTCCGGGGCGTGTCGGGCTCCCGGGCACGAAAGTGCCCGCACGGGGGTTCCGCGCGCGCATTTTCTACGTCTGAATTCTCCTCAGTTTCCACTGAGGTGTCAGACTGCGCGGTTACGATCGGCGAGTGCATCCGTCCGCGATTCGCGAATCCTCCTCCGGTCGTAGTAAGCGGTCGAACGCCGAAGCGGCCACTTGCTCCAAGGAAATCTCGATCTTGACGTGTTCGCGCGAAGTGTGCCCACGAGTTCTCTCGCGATTGTTCCGTGAAGAAGGGCGACCTCCGAGTGCGCGAAAGACCTGTGGACCTGGTGACGTCCACGAGGAAGCCAGGAGGAGGTGGCGGCGGCGGCGGTGGAGGAGGAGGAGACGGAGGCGGAGGCGGAGGCGGAGGAAGTGCCGGCGAAGGAGGAAAGAGACGTCTCCGTTGTCTCTTTAGTTGTTGTCATTGCCCGTTGTTGTCAGTGCACCTGCAGCAAAGATGATGCACGCAATGAGCGAGCACGCTGGGGTCGGCGTATTGCCGTTCGACGGCATGGGTCTGTACGAGCAACCTCGGCCGCCGCGGCTGGTCTTCAAGATGCCGCGAGTTGTTCCGGATCAGAAAGCGAAGTTCGAGAGTGACGAGCTCTTCAGGAGACTGAGCCGGGAGAGCGAGGTAAGTCCGTCCGCCGACCGCTTCCCGAGTGAAAGGTGAAAGTTCGAAGGCAGAATTCCTCGAAGGACTCTCGACGAGTAATGTCGAGGAAAAAGCCCGAGGAGAAAACGCGGGGAAGGAACGTGCGCGCGAAAACGGGGGGAGGTGAAGAAACGGTGATCAGAGTGAAAGAGGCAGGATAATCAATCGGATAAAGCAATCGAAGAGCCGCCAGGGTCAATAGTCGTTGCTTCAACCTTGTGTCTCACGCGAAGGCATTCCGGTTTAATTGAATTCGAAATAAATAGCGTGAGCTTCTCAGTTAAATCGCGATTGCAAGGATAGTGTGCCGTATGATTGTTTCGATTAATGACTCAACTGTTGTTCCATTACATCACTGTATGATTTAATCACTGATGACTATCAATGACATGGCTCTTACAGTCAGTCCAGATCGGTTCGTCACGTTGTAAGAGGTATTTAAGTCCGAGTGACGTCCAGTTCCAAGAATCAATTCTTGTGAAAGTTCTCCGAAATTCACCTTGCCCGCTCTTGTCCTCTGCCGTTACTTCTCGCTGATTATTGATCTCGTCGAGTGTCCTCAACACACACCTATTGACTCAGGTTGACGCAGTCAATTTCGGCGCAATTTCGGCACGATGAGGCGAGAAATTTCGACACGATGAGGGATCTCCGAGAGAGTCGAGAGGCGCCTGGAGTCGTCACCTGGAACACGCGAAATCATGCCGCAGGAATGTCGTCGTCTTTTCCACGAACTAGCTCTCCAGCGATCCTTCGACAGGATCGCGACGAGCGTCGCACAGCTCGCGGCCGATTGACATTCCTGTTCCGTTCGTTCCGTTTCGTTGTTATTACGTTGATTAATTATCGTCGTGCGGTGACTCGGCGACCTGGAACAATAGGAAATTTCTCAAGGGCGGCATATCATTGAGGACAAGAATTGCGCGAGTTTCGAGCGAGTCGAGATGTAAATGTAAAGCCGAGCTTCGAGTTGAGGCAGTTCCAGCAGAAGCAACGCTTCTGCTGGATCTCGCTTGTCGACTCGGTTTGCGACCTCGATTCGACTCGTGTTGTTATTCAGCCAAATATTATCATTCCCTCTCGTCTTCTCTGTTAAAGGTGAGATACACGGGCTACAGAGACCGGCCGATGGAGGAGCGACAAGTGCGATTTCAAAATGGCTGTCGGGAAGGCCACACGGAGATTGCGTTCGCAGCGACGGGCACGAATCTTCAGCTTGTCTTCGGCGGAGCGTCCGGGAATTACCCCGTCGATCCTTGCGATTGCGACTTCGACAAAGAGCACGGGAAGGTGAGTCGTGAGACACGTTGTCCGTCAGGCAGCGACTATCGTAAAGCGACCTGTAAAGTGTAGACGCTCGATGAAAACGGAAACAATCGTCGGCGTCGGCAAAATCACGGAAACGGAAATCGCGATCGTCGATATCGCGAATCGCCGCAATCGTCGATATCGCGCGAGCGTCATTCGTTCAAACTCACCGGCTTGCACGGCTTGCACGGCGCGGATCTTCGCTAACGAGAAGCCGAATCGCTCTTGGAACGCCACTTGGACGCACGATCGCAATTAGATCGTCTCGAACCGGCAAATTAGAGGCTGTTCACGGGCCCCGGACCCTTAACAACGTTTACCTTCTGCGCGCGCGCCTGCAATTTAGTATCCACCGGCCGACCCTTGTCGGACAATGGCGCCAAAATGACACCGACATCCGGCCCGTGGGACCGAGGCCTCTACGCGGGAGTCCGTCGTTTTCGTCGTAACGATCACCGAGACTCCGGCTTGATTTATCTACGTGTTTCACGCTCATCGAGCGACTACGCCGTGTTATTGGGGCGCGTCGAATCTTCGTAGGAAATGAGAGATTTTCTCGAGCGCCTTTTCGGCCTTTCGGTGTGTATCCACAATTGGAGTGAGAACAGCGAGATATAGGTCGAGAATTTTAGGAGAAGACAGATCGACTAACCCTTTGACGCCCGACTTTTTTACAAGTGTTTTAAGAATAAAATTTGAGTTTTTTTCAATTGAGACTACAAGCAGTGGTAACCAAAAAAAAAAAAAGATATCAGAATTTTGTATCTACGAAAAATTACTTTCCCAAGCAGAAACCACTGCCAGAAGCGAAAAATATCTGCCTGGATCGGTTAAATTTCTTTTTCTAGCTTTAATAATTTTATATCATCATATCTAATGGTTGGAAAAATTCCTCGAAACATAAAACTCATATTCAGAACTTGATCTTTATTTGCCCGGAATGGAATTGCATAAAGCATCGCAGAGATGCAGAGGGGGAATTTTACAAAAGGTTTTGCAAATTATTTTTGTCCTGCTTTGCTTCCCTTTCGAGCTGCACAATTGACAACGTCTTTTACTGTTTTCCTTAACAGGCATATGCTTGTTGTAACACTTCCTGATGTTTTCGGTCATCTTCAGTTTCTTGTTGTCAAAGTGAACTGGCCGCTGGATGTTATCATTAAAACTGAGCTAAAAACAGACTCTACATACCGAATCTACATACAATTTATATACCAATTTTTAGAAGAAGAGTTCACCTTTACAGTGCAGGTGCAAAGAAAACGAAAATATTTCCTCTTTTGACTAAGTTATGGATTCTTAAATCCGCGTTTCTGGTAACTATAGTTACCAGCAGGCGTTAAAGGGTTAAACTAATCGATTTAATTAGTCGATGGAGTGGATTGCCAACAGCAATTTCGAACATTGTGATTCGTCGTCCGACAAGTTTATCATCCTGTTGGTAAAATAAAGCAGATTGAATCTGGATTTGATTGGGTCTAGATTCGGAGATCACAAAGAGAGAAAGTGAAATTTGTCTTACTTATTTTAGCAGTGAATTTTTCTTTCATTTTTCGCGTTGGCAATTCTGAGTTGATGCGAGTCGATCGACGATTGAATGGCCGGTCAGAATTTGCCTCTATTAGACGGAATTCTTTAGGAGAATACAAGTGCAATGGAGGTTCAGTTGAAGAGTGAAGCACGTCAACGGCATTTGATACGCCGGGCGCCGCAGTGCCGACCGACGCCTCGGCCTCGCCATCGCGATCGATAGTGTCGACGTCGTCGCGACGCCATTTTGCAAAATGCGCCCGCTCTTTACGGGAATGCCGCTCCGCGGCATCGGGCGTTGTTCTGCATTATCCGATACACCCTCCCTGATCGTAACTGTTGCAAAGTAATCGTCCTCTCGACGCGCGAGCGTGCACTGTGATAGAAGAATGGATTAATCCCGTCAAACGTACGGCGCCGACGATATTCGTTTGAAAAACCTAATATATCTATTTAAAAAACAGCAGCGCGCGCAAAGGTTATGCAAACTTTACAGGTTAGGTTTATTTTACCAGTGGCACTCTTACCGCAGAGACGGCTTCTCCCGGCTATAATTATTTCGCTATGCTATTATCTTATCTTAAATACCGAGTACTCTATTCTCAGGGTAACTTCAACATCTCTTCAATTTTCTCGAGCTTTAACCCATTTGCGTCACAGCTCCAAAAACGCAACTAACTAACTTCAGAAATTGCAAACTGAGACAGTCGGCCTCTCGCGCCATCGTCGCGCGTTAACGCCTGTATCATTGGCAAAAAGTGAACGTCGTCGTGATTATTCCGCGTGATTGGTGATAAGTGACAGTCATTATGTGCGGATTATTTGCGCGCCAGGAGGCCAGTCTTGTCTTAATAACGCAAAATTTAACGACAAACTTGACAGGACACACAGAAATCTTGCTGAGAATCGGCAGAGGCGAGATATCTCCGACGTGTAAACGTCAGCCTTTCTGGCCCTGTCATTGTTTGTCGAGTTGTCGAAATTGTCGAATCGCCTGGGAGAGTAAAGCGGGGAGCACACACTCTTGCACAAAAGGCATAATACATAATGCGCAAAGAAATCAATCAATTAGAATCTTTATTTCTATCGCCATGCTGGAAATCAAAAACTCTGATTGGTTCTTATGCGTTGTGTATTATGCCTTTATGCAAAAGCGTGTGCTTCTCGCTTTACTTAACACATAATGCATAACGCATAAACGCGCACACTTTGTATTGAGAAAATAAGCACCGTAATATTATCGTCAATCTGAGAAATTCGAATTAGGAGTACAGTAAAGAGAATAATGCGTGCGCGACACTTCTCTCCTGTGACTAACTTAATCATGAAAAAATTCGTCCTTATGAACTTTTCGACACTTTCTGTATTATGTTTTCCAAACATCTCTGCTAGATCCTCGGAGCGAAGAGTGGGGATGGAAATTAAAAGCTCTGATTGGTTCGTTTGCTTATGCATTCTGCATTATTATGCAAAAGTTCTGCAAAAGTATGTGCTTCCCGCTTAAAAGAGTCCGCTCCTGTTAGAGCGCGACGGCAATTAACGCTCTCAAAATCCGTCAATCGCCGCTAGAGCCAGATGCTTCGATTTCCCCGCGTCAGTCGTTCGGTGTATAATGGCTCGTAAATCTCCGCCCTTGCGGAGTCTCGCAAAGGGCGAGCGAACAGTCCCGGAGATCTTCTTCGCAGCCTCCGTCGTGTTTTTTGTTCTTCTCTCCTGTTCGCAAGATCTTCAATCTGACCTGCGCCTCCAGTGTCGCCTTGGCATTGGTTCTATCCACGGCTTTCTCGAGAGTTCAGCTGTAATATTTAAAACGATATATAATCTGGGGTTCTTTTCTGAAAATATAGCGCCTTGAGACAAATTCTTGAAATAGTTTTGTTTCTCAACGGACGAATGCAGAGGCAAGTGAGAAAGCCTCTGAGAACTGTCATTCGAGCCCCCAAAGTCCGATAAAAAAAAAATGATTTGCCATCCGTGTGAAAAGCTTTCGAAAGGAAGAAAAAGCGGGCGTATCTTTCGGCTCGAGCGCGGCACTCTGGTTCTTGCTCGCCTCTGCGTTTGTTCGTTTGATCTGCACAACTGCGGGAAACTAATCGCGCGCAGACTTCTATCTATATTATACACTAGACTGATATAATGATTAGTCTCTTTAACACGTCCCCTAAAAGTATGTATTAAAATTTCGCGTATGCGCATTGCAAGGTCCCGAAAGGAAATTTATGTTTATATGTAATATTAATAATATTTAATATTTCCGCTTGCAATGTCGCATTCAATGACACATTCAATGTTCTCATAGATATTAAATATTGCATAAATATTAATATTTTCCGGAGTAAAAATGCCCATACGGGGTGCAGTCACATTCCTTTCGGGAGCTTGCAATGCGCATGTGCGCACGATTTTATGTTTCACACAAGGGTCACTTTTAAGGCCATCGCGCACAAAATATGCATATGCATAACCGCATATACGTAGCATAAGACCATCTCGACCAATGAGCATCTAGCATGGAGTAGCCATATTGATTTGCATAACATAGCATAACATGTGCATGGCAAACGAAAAATTCCATAAGAACGAAATTTCTATGCATTGAGCATATCTGTGCACATCCAACCAAACGCCAGATATATATTACCGCAATATACATATAATCATCCGTGTCCATTATTATTAACGAGATTAAGCAGTCTCTCGGCAACTTCTCCTGGCTACCCACAAATTTCAAATTTGACATATCATCATTAAGAATTAGGTTAAAAGTATATTCTTGAATAATATAATTATTGTCCCTCAGTTCTCATTGGTCAAGCTTTATGCTATTGTCCATTTGTGTAGGTGCTGTATATCTTTCTTACGCTTACGTTATGTTACGTTTGTGTCCCATGCATTTTGTGTGCGATGGCCTTTGTACTTGAAAACCAACGAAAGTTCTCAGTCTTCAGCTTATGCATAGAAGTCTGTGAAGGCAATATTCGCTTAACACGGTTCCCATTTCTCGTAAAGTACATTCAGCGCGGCTTGGAAAAAGGGACTCGGTACTTGCAGCCTCTTTCTCCGTCGGACGTGTCTCCTCGTTAGAGCAGCACGAGACGGATCGGAAGCGATTCATTAGGAGGATTCCGCGCGTACGAGCGCGAAGCGTGGCGCGCGCGTTGTTTTCGGCCAGGACGAGCCGCGCGGCCTCCTCCGCTTCTTTTTCTTCTTCTTCTTTGTTTTAATGGACAATAAGCGAGCGGGAATGAAAGAGCGGCGCGCACGTGCCCGTGCCGGCGCATTGTGCCGTCTGATGTGCCCCGTCGCGACGCAATAATTAAGGGAGAGATTCGCGAGGCAGATAGAGAACGCGCGATGCTAAGAGAGAGAGAGGAGCGCGTGCCGATAACGGTCGGCGCCGTTTAACCCCTCGCGCGATCGCGCGGGAGATTCGGCCATTATTCTCGCGGAGATCTTCCTTCGATCTCCTCCCGCTCGATTTTCGACGGCCGAGCTTTCTCGATTCTTCCAAAGTCCGAAGTTGCCGTTTGCCATCTGCGATGACCATCCTGAGCGCCGCGCTGCCGACCCGAGTCCCGACGGCCAACGACGATTTCCTTCGCAAACGGATCCTCTTCTCTCCTCCCCCCCCTCTCTCTCTCTCTCTCTCTCTCTCTCTCTCTCTCTCTCTCTCTCTCTCTTCTGAGGCTGCTGATCATTCTCGAGGAAGAGAAAATGAAAATTTACCGTCCGACTTTGTTAGGCGACGCACCTCGGTCTCTCGTCGTGAAAAAATCAACGCGCAAAACTGGACCCCACGAGAGAAGGATGGGAATGGTCGCCGAGGGGGGAACGGGGCAAGGGGACAAAGACGCGCCATGCTGACCGTATGCCCCTCGTTCGCTCGCCCGCTCGCGTCCTTTCTGTCGGGATATCGTTGACGAATGTGCCGGAGCGCACTCCTGGAGGGACCAGCGCAGTGGACGGGCCCGGACCGAGCGCAAAAAGGCGCCGCGCGGCGACGCCTACCGAAAAACAAAAGGACCCGTGAAAATAGCCGGTCGCGTCGCGTCGTTCGTCCCGTTTGCGATTTAGAGTCGCGCGCGCACGCCCGTCGCACCCCTCTTCCCCCCGCGCGCGACTCCTCTCTCTCGCTGCTCGTTTCGCTTTCCTCTTTTCCCCGCTTCGCCCTTTTTCTTTTTTCTCTCTCTTCTCCAGCCGGCGCTCTCTCGCCGAGATGCAAATCAGAGAAAGGGTTACCACCTGAAATGTCGCCGGGCGATATTGTGCGACGGCAGTAATAATAATAATGGCCGGTCACGCCCGTGCGCGAAAGCGGAAGAAGGAGAAAAACAAATGTCTGTTCTGCTGTTGTTCTTTCCTCGTCGTGAGAACGAGGAGGGAGACGAACGATGACGATGACTAATGACGAGAAGTCGTATGTAGTCCGTCCGTTTTCCTCTCTCTCTCTCTCTCTCCCTCTCTCTCTCTCTCTCTCTCTCTCTCTCTCTCTCTCTCTCTCTCTCTCTCTCTCTCTCTCTCAGTCGACCTTTTTATCAGCGTTCTCTCGCTCTCGCAATATATACGTCTCGACGATTCATCTCGCGGAGCGACGTCAGCGGAGCGACAAAACTCGTCAGGTGTGGATCTGATTCGACGATATCCAGACACGTGGATACAACAAAGACAACTGGACAGTAAGTTTCGATGAGAAATCTACTGGAATAGGTAAAAACAGATAGCGCGTCGAGCTCGTGTGCGCGGATATTACGAGGAAATACTGCAAGGACGAGAGTCCTCGCATGCACGTGACATGTCGTCGCGTCGGCCGACGTATTTCCCGACGTTATCGCGACTCGCGCGTTAATATGCAGCCCGTGTAAGATTCCGCACGCGATGATTCCGTTTTACCTGGAGGCGCATTAATATGTATAAGATTGCACGAGAGCGAAACTTTCCGCCTCTCATCCACGGGTGAGCAGCTCTCTCTCTCTCTCTCTCTTTCTCTCTCTCTCTCTCTCTGTCTCTCTCTCTCTCTCGTCATGCGTCATACGTTGCAAATCCGAGCGTGTGCTATTTTCACGTTCAGCCACTGAGAAAGCTTCAGCCAATTACACGCTAATTACATGCGCGTGTTGAAATAACGCGCTCGGATTGTAATCGAGCGCGTCACGCGTCTGCCTGGACGTGGAAATTTATTTCTTTATTTTGATGGTCGTTATTTGGCATTTCGGAGGAAAATAGGGAACGATGGTGTTTCAACGATACGGTGTTGCTGAAAGAGGCAAGAGGCGCGTTTCCTCGTCGCAGCAGGTCGGTCCAACGACGATCGAGCTCTTTGGGGGACAGTGGCCGCGAGCGATTCGATTATCGAGGCGTTTAAGACCTCGTTACCCATCCCCGTCGCACCCCGCGGCTCGATTATTATCGCATAAAAATGCGTCCCGCGGCGCGCATTGTCGTCGGCGACGCAGCTGTAAGCTGCGACGTGAAAGAATGTAACAAGATGTAACGTCGATTCGTCTCTCCGTCGGCGGGGCTCTTCAACATATCTTGTTATGAAAAAAAAATATTTTGTAATATATATATATATATATATTACAAAATATAATACTATACTATTATATTATTATATTATATTATATACTATTATATTATCATACCATGTATATATATCTTATTTTAACAATTTCATATATATTTTATTTTAACGTTTATTTTAATTTTATACATCTTATAACTTATCGACCTTTGAGAATTTCAAAATTATTAAATCAACAAAAATTAGGGCACTATTATAGTAATATATTCTTGATAGTAAATAAAGTAAAGAAGACTAATACTATTTTTTCTTTCGACGAATAGTTGGCGAGATATTGTAAGTTAAATGTTGAAAAAGTTACCAAGTTTTCCTTAAATATTTCAAAAAATATTAGGCGAATAAAAGAATGTTTCAGACAAAAGTTCTTAAAATTAATTGATAGAAAAAGAAGATATAATAAAAAATTGGACTTTCTATTTTAAAAAATTAAGTTGACCTTCAACTGACCTTGAAAACGTCCTCCAAATAAAAAACTGATAATGCCATTCTCTTTCTCCTTCGAAATCATGGAACACGTGTTTTAGCTTTTTTTAATATCTTTCATAATTTTCGAGATCTTTTACCTGTTACGTTTGAAATTTAGCACCCTGTATATAATAAAATATATATACTTTTTATATACATCTTATTTTGACAAAACGGCTAAACCGCTTCAGTTTCGTCAGGTATTGAGACTCGATTAGATAATGTCGGGACGCATTCGAAAAGATTTCCCCAGTTTGTATAAAGATTGCGACGAGCCGAGATGCGCGAGATAATAGCATATTGTACGCCGGCGTTTTACGGCTGGAGGATGGAGCGAGTCATCGAGCGAGAGAGTTACTTTCGCTCGTAATTGATTTCTTACGAGGGCTGCGAGCGCGCGCGGCTTCACCTCTCAATTTCATCTCCCCCGTCCGTCTCGAGGTGGACCGCGAAGGCCCTCTCGTACCTTCCAATCTGCGTAATCGTTCCGCGCGGGAATAAGAAGCGTTGTTGTCGGCCCCGACGGAGGGAGAGAGAACGAGCAGGACGTGATTGAAACTTGCGGCTCGTGGCTCATAATGGAGTCCTTCCTACGATTCTCGCCGGCCGCGGCGCGCCGCCGCCGCGCCGGCGAATTTCGGAAAAAAGAAGCATCGCGAGGTCGCAAACCGCGAGGCAGGCGATCACGAGCAGGACGAGACACGTTGGACCCTTTTTTTTTTTATACAGAGAGAGAGGAGAGTCATCCAAGAAATTTCAAGAGTATAAACTCGATTCTTCTCTTGAATGCATGCGATAATGAAATTATTTAAAATTCCATGGGTGAGCGTGTCTTAAGACTATTAACAGGAAAATATCCTTTGTCGGAGATGACTATTGCTTGAAGGAAGAAAAGCAAATCGCGTTTCTCAGCAAGTAGAGAATGATGTTCTTCTCTGCGTAACTCGCAGATCCTTAGATCGTCGTTCACGCGGTGTCAACGCGCGGTCAGGTTCCTCGGCTGTCTTTCTCCCGACGTCTTTCGACGATACGACGGATAATCGCATTACCCGGCGATGTTGCCTGTTTCAGGTACACCTACGCTCGCACCTGATCATGAACGGCGTGTGCGTGAGGTGGCGCGGCTGGATCGACCTGGAGCGCTTGGACGGCGTCGGCTGCCTCGAGTACGACGAGGAACGCGCCGCCGAGGAGGACGCGTTGCTACGCGAACAGCTCGAACGTTACAATCAACGATTGCGCGACTTCGAGGAGAAGCAACGGGCTTACCGGAGCGGCGCCGCGCAACCGCCTCATCTCAATCATTATCACCACGATCACCACAGCCACCACCATCACCATGGCCATCACAGCCGGCACGTGAGCGGCGCGGCCGCCACCGGTGCCACCGCCGCCACCATCGAGTCTCACCTGCCGCACCGTCAGGACGCCGAGATGGAGGTACGACTGCGGGCCTACTGAGGCCCGTGCAAACAACCACCGCCGCCCGACCACCACTACTACCATCACCACCACCACCACCACCACCAACACCACCAACACCACCCCCGATGATTATATTGTATTGTATTTATGGGAATAAATCCCTCTCTGGAACGCAGACTAGTAGAACTCTCGATGAAGAGATGCTTGATTGAGCATATTTTCCAGTATATATATATATATATATATATGTATATGTATATATATGTGTGTGTGTGTGTGTGTGTGTGTGTGTGTGTGTGTATGTACGTATGTATGTGGTGTAAAACGCGCGCGATGACGAGTCCGCTCGACCAACGCCCGTGAAAAATCGCGCGAATGATTGTATACTGACGACTTCGCCTCCGGCGTGATTTGAATGAGAGAGTGATTGCGAGAGAGAACGAGAGAGAGAGAGAGAGAGAGAGAGAGAGAGAGAGAGAGAGAGAGAGATATTAGTCGAAAATAATCTCAAGTCGAATTAAACGAACCCAATTTTTCATCGAGTTCATACACTTCATACAGTTTGGTTTGTTTTTTTCTTTTTTCAGATTTACAGTCGTACATACATGCCGAATTTAGCTTACAATTTAGCAATTCCTCATTACTGTCGGTAGCCACGAGATACAATCACACCGAGCAAATATCGAAGACGTCTAATCCGAATGTTGAGAAAAATATCAAAGCAAATAGTAATCCGACTGATGATTTCGCCGACTTGCTTCAGACTGTGAATAGACAGAGGAAGAGAGAAAGAGAGAGAGAGAGAGAGAGAGAGAGAGAGAGAGAGAGAGAGAGAGAGAGAGAGAGAGAGAGAGAGAGAGAGAGAGAGAGAGAGAGATAGAAAGAGAGAGAGAGAAAGAGAAAGAGAGACGAGTAATTTACGCGTTATCTTTCGAAAATATCTCTTCGCGAATATAATATCACCCCGCCGTCCAGTCGACAGAAGAAAACAACGGCCGTAATGATGATTACGTCACGGCGCGGCGGCTCGTCATTGACGAAATGCATGAATCACGACGATTCCTCCGCGTTCAGCCAAACAAGTATGAGTCAGTGTGGATCGTTGCGTGTGCGTATGCGTTTACCTTATGTTTCACCTTTCATTTGAGCATGTGAACATCGTCGCAAAGTCCTTTTGTTACATTGTACATATTTGTAAAGAGTTTATAGATTAAAGATCGACCTTTGCGTTCGGATTCTCTCTTCATTCGCTTCGTTCGTCTTATCCTTTATTCTCTTCATTCGCACCTAAATCGAGTAAGGAAATAGCGAAAAGAAAGAAAGAACACAATAAAAATATATATAAAAAAAAGTAGAAATAGAGAAGCTAAGAAATGTAATATGATAATGTCACCCGACAAAAACCCCCAAGACCTTCGAGAGAGAGAGAGAGAGAGAGAGAGAGAGAGAGAGGCAAGTTATATTATTACAAGTGATCATCTCATCATTATTATCCCGAAGTGGACTCTCATGTTTACGATTTCGCAGGGTATTTTTTTAACATCTTCATTTCCGTCGAATGTACGAGAGGCTTAACCGCGACGGTCGAAATTTCTCTTGACCGTTTAACAATTGATTTGTCACATTTATAGGAAACTTCGCGAGACCCACGATTTACACTTGGCGCTCATGATGATCGAATCGTGACACGATCGTCGTTATTGTCGTCGTTAATGCGTCTTGATCCGTGTATTTGCGCAACGAAGGGAAGGGAAGGGTGGAGAGCGCCCTTCCATCGTCCTTTCAGGAAGAACGCCGTCGGGCGTCGGAGCGCGCAGCAATCCAGAGGCATTATCCTGATCCCATCAAATCGGATCGCGCGCCGCTGCGATCTCCCCAACGGCTCGGTTTTATTGTTTTAAGCGATAGGCTTCGTGCCAGGATTCGTACGCGAAGGACGAAGTTCGAGTTCGGCTTCGAAAACGGTTTTGACAAAATATATCTTTCGGAATACTGAAAGTTCGCTAATTAACGGCAACAGCGGAGAAATATTAATATTAATTTATAATTAATATAATTATAATTATAATTAATATGAATTAATATTTATATTAATATTAATATTAATATCAATGCTAAAGGAAAGTCCGAAAAGTGCGACCGTGTTTGACATATTAAAAATAAATAAAGTTTCCTCAAAGGGGAAGGAATTAATTATTCTCAACAATCGTCATCGTGGGAGTTCTCATCGGCCGATTAAAATATTTCAATCTATCGCAAGATTCTGCTTCTGCACTGTGGACCAGGAAACTGAAAAAAGTGGCCAAAATACTAAAAGTGTTCCAATTGTTATGAAATGTAGTAGTCCGAGGTTCTCGGGGCTGCTGATTTCGTACGCTGATCCGTATTCAAAATTCAGAAATTCAAAATGGCGGATCCAATATGGCGGACGAAATTGCTAAAAATGCTCTGACTGTGTGGCAATTTGATACTTTTGCATATAGGTTTAGCCAAGCTAAATTGTTCAATTCAAATTTATCAGCCTGTCTGCTAGCCGCGTTGAATTTTTCATCGCATCTGGTTCTCAAAGATGACACACAGGCCTTCAGGCGATCTAAATCATCTTTTCTCACGTTTTTTGAATCAATTTTTAGCTTTGTCAAAATGTCAAATCAACGCCCAAGTGTCTATCAGAATCACTGGGAATTTTGTCAAGAACTTCCCTTTTTGTTAGTCTCGACATATTTATTTCGACGAATTCCTAAATAATATATCCGCGAAAGCGCAAAAAAGGTCGCCGACTAAACTTCAAATATATATTGGAAGGAATATTATGAAATCGTTTTTGGCTTGACGGAGAGCGTGTTATGGTGTGTTATCGTGACTCGACAGCGTATATGATACTATAAAATTCAATAAAGCAGACATACAATGGACCAAAACAATAACATTTTTTAATTCTCGTGTTTATAGGGATATTTACATGATAAGTGTATACACAACATATTTTTTAAAATGAGAGGAAAATCTTGAAATTTGTATAATGTAGTCAGAATTGTGAAAATCTTCAAAAAAAATAATTGTCCTTACTGATAGGAAAATTCTTAGGTTCAAGACGTTGTTAATGGAAGATTAATTAACCAATTGATATAAAATTTTTACCAACAGTGCTTTGACTTGTGTAGGTAAAGTTAGTATGTTTCTTTACTCGAAATTTTGCAACAAAATTTTGCAACCACTTTTTCTAGTCTCCTGGCCCAGTGTGTTCTGATCGGATTTGATCTCAAGTTGCCTCTCCACCGGACGGGAGAAACGACGGGTTCGCGTAGCTGTGCGATTCTCGCTACAATGTAACATAATGACGTGCATTCGGCGTGAGGGAATTCTTACGAGAAGCCATACGCGGATGCAAAGGGTGGTGCACCGAGACCTTGAATACGACTCGGTTCGATGAGTCGTAAGTATCGAGTGACCCTGCGGTGCAACCTTTCGCGATTATTCGACGTGAGAGAGAGAGAGAGAGAGAGAGAGAGAGAGAGAGAGAGAGAGAGAGAGAGAGAGAGAGAGAGAGAGAGAGAGAGAGAGAGAGAGACTACGGACAGCTCCTTCGGACAATCCGCTCTCTCGACGGAGTCGATGATAATCAAATTCACTCCATTGAGTTACATGAAATTCACGTATCGCTCCGATTAGTTTGATCCCTGTCGTTATACCGGTCCATTCCGGATAGAGGAACGTGACGTGAGAGAACGAGCCAGGTTTTGATCATCGTCGAGACTCTTACTGGACGACTCGATAACTCCGCGGCGTAAAATGTGTTTAACGAGTTACACCGACGGTGTTCTCACGTCTCGCAGGGCTTCGCGAAGAATTGTTATCGTCGGACCCACTACCGGCTTCCTGTGGCTCGCAGATAAAACAGCTATCGTGCCTCGTTTCGGTTTACCAACACGAGTGCCCGATTATTCTCCATTAAGTTGTCAAAATGAGGCAGGAACTAAGCATGACGAACGATAAGGTTTGACCGATAATTCGATCGCCTTCTCGCGTATTAGGTCGTCGATATGACAAAAGGGAGGGGGAGGGGGCGGGAGAGAGAGAGAGAGAGAGAGAGAGAGAGAGAGAGAGAGAGAGAGAGATTGTGGATAAATGTGATATCCGAAATAATAAAAAGCGGTGTGTGAAATAACAAAAAGATTCGAATTTCGAAAATCGCACTCGAAGTTAGTCGCGCGTGCCGCCGATGCTGTGTCCGGCTCTCGCGATGAAGGCGTCACACGATGAAACGAGAACGAAATTCGGAAACGAGCTCGTGTACCGTTTTGTATTTGGAGAAAACAGCGTATTGTCGGCGGGGGGTTGCGAGGGCTGAGAGAATTCGGTCACCCGTCGCGACGAGCCCTGCGGGCGATCGCTGCATCTGCCTTCGATTTATTTCCAATTGTAATTGATGACTCTCTCGCCCTTCGTGATCTCTTCGCGGGGCGAGAGACGAGAGCGAGAGAGGAGCCCGGCGGATTCTCTCGAGTGGACGACGAGAGATCCCGTTGTTGTGATTTTGCATAATAGGGGGCACAAAGTCACGCTTCCGGCGATAAATTACGACGGTGGTGCTGATCGCTGCGATGTTCGGCAGGCTGTAATAATATCGAACGTTGCCGAGCGCATCGGGATTTGAAAGAGATCATTACGGATCATTTCGAGAGATGCACGAGTGAGTATATGCATGCGTGTCTTGTACATTCAAGACAAGAAGAATCTCCATATGTTAAGATATTAATTGCCGAACTGAAACAGGCTATTGTTTTGCGCGAAATTCTGCGCAAAACTGCAGCTAAGCAGGCCGAAACAATAACGATGTTACTCGGTCGAATTTAAATACCGAGTTGCGAAACTGTAGATAAAATTCGACCGTGGATCTCGGCACCTGGGATTGCCGTTTTTGTCGCGGCTAAAATTGAAAGTAATTAATCTCGCATTGTTGCATCTCGCAAGACGCCAAGTCGTGCGAGAGAGTAGCGAGAGAGTAGCGAGAGAGTATCGTCGAGCAGCTACGTGCTAAGACTTTTAGGACCCGAGGAATCAGATACGTCGCTCGATAAATCACGGCTCTAAATGCGAGGAGGAGGACTCCTCTCCTCTCCGCTGCTCCACGTAAAACTGTACTTTGAGAACGCCGTCCATGTTTTGACAGAACAAGTCGACGATGGAGGCCCGCATCTGCTCGACTGTGTTTTCTCTCCACTCACGAATCGGTTTCATTGTCGTATCCCCGAAGGATCGCCTTCGAGAAGAGCTCATAGGGGACTTGGAGTGGAATCTGATCTCTTTGCCGGCGAACAGGCAGAGGCGGAAAGGGGAGGGAGAGGTCACGGGACGACAACCTCCATCCGTGGAGGACACGCCCGAGGATTCGTAATCCTCTAATGATACAACGCAGGTGGCAGATTACGCGAATGATTCCTCCTCTTCATTCTCACCCGAACTCCACGGACGGAATAGGCGGGGAAAGCGTGAGTGAGAAATATTAATGAATGTCGCGTCTCATTTCTCTTTGCGCCTGGTTCGTTACGATACCGATCGCTAACCTGACCTGGTGACCTTGTTGTATCTCCGAATATGGGGCGAATGCAAGGAAGAAAAAAGAGGAAAAGAGCGGCGGTCAAAAATGACGAGCGGATT